GAATCCAGTTATTGACTCTAAGGTATTAATGTTTTGCTGTTTGTTACTGTAAGAAGTTTGACAAGTCCTCAGCATTTGCCTTCCTTACATTGAATATTCATGTTTGCTCTTCTCTACTGAATCACTGGGTGACTCTTCAAATAGTTTTTGAGCAGGGTGATTAAAACCTATGTGAATAGATTAGCAGTAAGCGAATAGATAGGCAGGAAGTCAATAGATAGGAAGTAAGTAAGTCAAGAGAAATTCCGGCATCTACAATTTTAACAAATTGTGACAAGTCTCAGCCTTGAGGAAAAAATAGATAAATAATGGCCGGTGTCACATGGCACATCAAAACAGTGCAAGGGAGGAGAATGAGGGAGGGAAAACACTTGTCACACTGTGGAAACTGAAGGAAGGCACACACACCTATTCTTTCCTGCAGATGTGGGTGTTTTTACGAGCGGAATAAATTTATTCCAAGCTCAAAACTGGAGCATTTAGAAAGCTCACAATGACAAGTGTAATATCATGAGGAGCTGTAGAGGCAGCATTTCAAGGCGGTGGCATTTATTCTACCTTCTGATGTGAACACCCACTCATTCTGACAACAGGAACCCAGAAGGAATAATGATGAGAAATTTATTTCTCTGCATTTCAATACAGATTCAGACTTTGGTATAAACCTGAGCACTGCCCAAATTTAAAGGTAGAATTGTTACAAAGCTGTACAATTTATGAGATACTAAACACAGTTTGCAGATGCTACTGGTCCAGGCCCCAATCCTAACCCCGCGCATACATCGCTATAAAACTCTAGAAGAAAAAAGTCTTCCGGTTATCCCCAGTGGTTCATAGTAATAAGACATTCCGAGATGTTCGCCACATGACCCTTGCAGTTAAAATGTTACAGCCAATGTCAGGCAGTTACTGAATCAACAAAGAGCTTTTAAAATCAGGTATTACTCATATTTACAAAACCCTACAGCTGAGTATGTTTGGATTAGAGGTTTGGGGTCTGAAGTAGAAACCTGCTGTTTTCAGTGGGAGAGACCTTTCTCATGGTCATGAGTGCTAGCTATTAAACAATACTATCAGTAAGAGATGTATTTGAGTATTAAGAGTGTGTTTAAGTAAGAGAAGTACTTGAGATGCTGGAAATCTATGATTTTTAGTGTTCTTCCTGAAACTTTTCAGTCTTATGTAAAGTCAGAACTAGACAAGAAAATTAATTTTTCTCTACAATTCAATAAAGGAGGCTAAAAGCACTGAACCTCTGTTATATTTCACTGTGAAAAGTAACCTTAGAGGTCCTAGACAGGCTTTCTGTGCTTTAACACCAGTAAATTTAGATTAATCATCTAAGGCCTAGCAGATGGCAAATTTATCAATGATATTTATGACTGCAATAGGAGTTCATACAATTCTTTTCAAAGCACCAAACCCAGCAGCCTCCCGTTAACGCTCCAGCATTATTCACTGCATGACCTGTAACATGAACTTGTGCCATACTCCCCTGGTACAAATAACCAGACAAGCTCAAGCCCAGAACGCTTCACCACTGAGACTGTGCAGCGAAACACAGTATTATTGATGACTCCAGCCCGCATCTTGGAAGTACCTAAGGATCAAAGCACATTCCGGAGGCTCAGGCCAGCAAGGCAAGATGTGCTATCTAAGTAAATGTAATCCACACCCAGTAATTTCTGCATCCACCCCTAGAGCTCTGGGAACAGAAATGTGAATCGTTATCTCAGGCTGTCACAAGTTTACAGCCCAGACGGCCTTGGGATAGGCAGACAGGCTGTCTCCACAGCTCCCAGCACCCTTCCAGGTCACCATCTCCTACACCAGTACAGGAGAAAATGTTTCATGGATTTTATTTCCTTCATTTGGCAACCATCTTTGGTCACACTTCCGAGGTGGGAACAGAACTTACTGTTTTCCCTCTGCTACTGCATCTGCAGGGAGGAACATGTGGAAGCTGGGGCTGCTTCTTCCCATTAATGTATCTGAGTCTTTATATTTTTCCATCTACACAGCAGTCCTTCTCTGTGCTCTATTCACCATTCAGCTTTCATGTTTTTCCCTCATTTCTTTTTGATCGGGGTCTTCTTATCTCCCGTCTCCTTTATTCTTGTCCCTCCTTCTTGCCACCCACACAGCCATAGAGTTATTAATGTATTACACTGTCTCATGAGCACTGCAGTCAAGCAGAGTAGAAGCAATGAAACAGGAGGAGAAAATTCCCTGCTTCCTGCCTGATTACAGATTGGTTCCTCTTTGTAGATCCAAGCCGTGTATCTTCTGCAACACTGAGGATTATGGCCAAGGCAGAAAGCTCTTGAAATAGAGGGGAGTCCTAGAACAAATGGTGCTGATGATACTTGCTAATAACTACTGAAGCTTAGAAAGTGTCCCACTGAAAGGTGATAAAGATGTCTCAGACTGTAAGAAAGGTTATTTCCAATACTTGCTGTACTATATGTAGGTGGAAATGCCACAAACCCCCTCCACTTACCTACATCACACCTTGCAAAGCTTACCGAGCTGCCCAGTTTCATCCATAAACACTACCGTAAGCTGAACTGTATCATATATAAGATTGGCAGAGTAGGACCCCTCTTATGTGTGACTGGACAGCTTTTGTTTTCAGTACCTAAGTATCACCAGAGTGAACCTGGTGAGGAGGTAGTCCAGCAGTACATTATTTGGAGACCCAAGACAGGAAGCAGAGGATCTGAAGGTTTCACAAACATGAATTAATCAATCACAGAATTAAGTAAGCTGCCTTTTACTTTGTTCTAGGAATTAAAAGTCCACTGATCACACTGAAACAACAGACTTCTTCAAGATACAGATACTAGAAAAACTTAACAGCAAGGCAACAGACGCCTGCTAGAGTGCAAGGGCAGAGTAACCCCTGGTATCAAAACAGGAATTGCAGAAGCAGCCTTGCAGAAGGGTCCTCAGGACTGTACTCCCTAAACTGTACATTAGAAAACCCTCATGGCAATAAACATCTCAAATACAGTCAACACTGATAACATTACATTTTTTTGCAGCACTGTGTTAACTATTCTGTACTTTTTAAAGTACTGCATCAGTAATAAAGAACCTAAGAGTATTTCTGGGTTTAGGAAACAGATCCCATGCAGTTCATTTGCCCTAGATATAATCCTCATCCATGATATCAGACATGCATCAAACCTAACGTTAAAATGTCAACGAACATAACTCTCATCTGGAGCTGCCTTTCCCCCACATACCCAGAGAAATCCCTGCCATGTGCTCACTCTCTGCATTCACATTTTAAGGTAATATTTAATCAGATGCTTATCCTGGAAAATGAAGATGCTCCCTGAAAGTAGGTCATGATTTTCATCAAAAGGATAAACCCCCCTGCTGGACTGTTTTACTGGGAATCTCAAAATAAGCACAGGTTAGAGATATTGTTCAGTAAAACAACGGTCTAGTGTGCAGCCACACAGGAAGCAATATTTTTGATATGGCCTTAATCCTGCACCGAACCAAAGCCTCAGTGTAACAGTTGTTTGATCTGATGGCCGTTTAATGAGAAATAAACTGCTTAACCTGCAGCAATGGTTTTCCTACAGAAAACTATTCTGTATTCTTCATGCCAGGCCAGTTTTTAAAGAGAGTGCACTGCTCTATCACAGGAATAAATTCCTCTTCCAAAGTCTACTCTTCTATTGAATCATATAATAGAGAAGGAGTTACTGCATATTAAATCTACTACATTTTTGCCATCGTTATTGTTAGTTTTGGAATGCTAAAATTAAAATTCTCATTTCTGGAACCAATTATTAGTTTAATATTCTTAGAGGGTAGTAATTTGTGTAATCCTAGATCCAAACATCTATTTCTAGTCTCATAAACAGAATACAAATGATGCTTTACACAAAATGGTACTGTAAAATTATATGTGTTAATTATGGCCAATGCATTTCCAAAGCTACTGTTTATAAATCAAGACATTACTGTCTTAATTTGTTCAGTCTTAATATCAATAATGCAATAAATAGTATAGTAAATAAAACAAGTGCTTATCTCTGGGTTTCCTGGTGACAATAAAAAGGTTTCTTTGATTTCAAAATAATTAAACTAAAGAGGTTATTGCAGCTGAACACTGAAATAGTTTCTCTCTTGAGATTTAAAGGAGTCTTGCCAAAAAATACACAAGAGGACAGATTAACCTAAACAAACATAGAAATAAATTTAGTAATCTAAAATGGAAGTGTCTACCTCTAACATCAGAGGGGTTACATAACAAAGAGCAAACTAAGTGCAGCCTCAGATGAATGCAGTTCTAGTGGAGTCCAGGAGATATATGCAAGTGAAGAGTTTCATCTTCCTTCATCTCCTGTGGTAATGTTAATTACGAACCTGTGGGCGCTGGAAAAAGACAGTTTTAACAACAGAAACAATATAAAATTACCAGACCCATGCCACTAGCCCAGTAATGCTCCTAAACGAAGTAGTGTATTCCCCTACTCCCTCTTGCAAACATGTTTCAGTAGTGTGTGATTTGTGACACTACAGAATAACATTCTTTGTTGTGACTGTCCTATTAGCAATACTCTCTGTATAGCTGCCAAAACCACTAACAGTAAGCAATCAACTAAACATGGAGGAAAAATATAAGGCCATACTCAGGTTGCATAATATTAAAGAACTTTAGCAATACCTATTTGGTAAACAGGGAGCTGGTGACGCTGGAGACTGATGAGAAGGACCTGGGAAGATGTTAGGCAATGGGATGCTGGGGTCAGGAAATGTGGAAAGGCAGCTGGAGGAGTGCTGGTTAATGGAGGCTGGCTCAGTGCTGTCCTGTCACTTTGTAAGTCTGTTGAGACCTGACCCCCACCAAATCAACAAGTAAAAATAGCGCATATTCGTCATGCAAATAGATTATTCTCATTCTCAAGAGCTGTGTGCAGGATGCACTGTCAATCTAGTTTCACTGTATATTACCACACATACATTTTAAAACCTGTTGTTTTAATTAAACACCCCCCCCCCCCAACCTACCTGCCTGTATATGTGAATTTGCTTCCTGACAAATGGGATCACCTTGCCTAAAATACACCTACACTCCTTGGGGCTGAGCGCCTTCAAAACATTCTGATGCATATCACGTGTGGTAGAATATAGGTTTGCTAAGGACTGCAGAAAGGAGAGTTCGACATCAGTATGATTTCTTTAAAACCATTCTTTCAATTTTAGGTTATTAACCTCAGTATCCCCACACTTCACATGGTATTTCAAGTTTGGACCCAAGTCCACATGCACATACATACAGGTCCACATCTACTCAACATTCACTTTGCGTGGAAGCCAATCCATACTTACGACTATAAAAATAATAGAATAATAGCACAAAATAGAAACAATCTCTGTGAAACAGCTCAAGAAGAAAAACCTGTAGGCTTTTACAACCTTAGTGCATGCCCAAACACAGCGCTCCCTGCGGTTTTGACTGAGTAAACATATCCTCCAAAGATGCCTCAGGTAACCCTTTGTCCCTGCCACTCTGTCAAGAGATCACTCTTAGCATTGTCCCTACATTACCTATCAAAGGGCAAGCTACTTTAGTAGTTAGCTGTAAGATTTGGGGTAGCTGCAAGATGACATGAAAGAATCGCACACCAATGAGCAGTAACAGCCTGAGTAGGGTTGGCTGGGTAACCACAGCCTCTGCAACACAGGGGCAGCTGGTGAAGCAGGGCAGAATCATCAGCAGAGGAGAAAGAGCAGGGACAGCACCTGAGCCACAGCCCAGAATGCAGACTGTGCCACTTCTCAGGGCTATAAACAGCCTTTCTCTTAAGGAGTAGATGGGACAACAGTGAACCCAAAATATTTTCTAAGATTAGATGATGATTACACTTCCAGGCTAATTACTGGAGAAGATTCACAAAGATAAGAAAACCCTGAATCCAGAAGTAAATCTGCTCTTCTCCCCAGAGACTCTTAATGCCTGTTTTCTCCCTTTACTTCGTGCACATTTTGTAATGTGCTTAGACTCCAGGACTGGAAACCAAAGAGCCATGTCCTGAACAAGCATCTACCCCAGCAGTTCAGCACAAACAAGGGACATTCCTCTCCAAGGGAAAGGTGTGCCACATTCTCAGTTTACAAAAAACAGGGAACTAGTACTTCAAAAGGGAAACCTGATCATTCACACAATATAAAAGGACAGAGAAGTCAAAGGTGTATAACCTGACTCAATGAACCTTCAGACCTGAGAGGTTTCACCAGAAACAGGTCAGAAAAAGAAGTTTTATAGAACTGTCATTTTCAAATTCTCTCTTGTATCTCTGGCACACAAAACCTAAGAGATTTGGGTATGATAAAACTTTTGGACTCACTTCTCAATGACACAATTTAAATCAAACAAATAGGCCATTCACAGAAAGTAGTTTTGGGTCAGCCTTTTTCAAGAAACTGCAGTAAATATTAAAGTGTGCAATGTGCAAGCAGTATAAAATAATGTGCAGCGATACATTATTCTCTTTATTGCACCTGTATTTAGAGAGCACCTTGCTTCAGCACACAAAAGCATCTTCTGCAGACAACCATCACTGCTGCCAGGTTTTATGTGTGCCGCAGTCATTAGACTACCACAGTGCAAATCATTAATCTTTGGCCAGCAAGTTGGTCAGCAGTTTGTAGAGTATGCAGAAATTGTGCAAGAGCAGAACTGTCTTGGCAGCTCATTAGGACATCAAAATACAGAACCCAAGTGGCTGCTGAAGTGCCAGGGCTGGTGGAAACTCACCAAACAACAGCCCTTAAACTCCAGTTCTTCCACAATGGAGATTCCTTTTCAGTCATACTGAACCTGTCACACTAAGGAGCTACCAAATGCATGTGGTAACAGCAAGAATGGGGTTTTCTTATCCTCTGTGTTTAGTTCTCTTCTACCTCTGTATCCACCAAAAATAATTCTAAAAACTAGGAATTTCTGTCCCTAGTCCTTCCCTAAAGACATTACTCTAGTGATTTTCATTGTTTTATTATGCAGATGTCTGCAGGAACATACTGGTGAGGAAAAAAAGACAGTATTTTATATTACTAAGAACAGACATAAACTTTCAACAGAAAGTTGTACTCAAAGCATTTCTGCCAGAATGACTGAAAAAACTTGGCAGATAGCAGATAGACTCTTCTGAAGAAACCAAAATAGGGAAAGCAACAGCATAAATGAATAGGGATTAAAAAAAATCTGATAGCTGTAATCATCTCAGGGATACCATGATTTGTGTCTGTGAATTTTAAATACCATCACTACATTGTATTTAATGGCAGACTAAAAACCCCAGTTATTCTAAGCATTACTCAGTATTGGCAATGGCACAGAGAACCAAGGCGATACCGTTATCAGCTGCAACTGTTCAGTACCTCAAAAGCCTCCCCCACCAAACCTGTAGTTGTTAAGACACAACAGAAAGGGAGGTGTATTGACATCCAGGTGATACAGAACTGAAAGAAACTCTTATGAGGGTGGAAATCTTGGGGGGAAAAAAGGAGGAGGAAAAGAAAACAAACAAAGCCACGGTAAAATCCTGAATGGCCAAAGTCTGAACTGAAAAATCACCTCAGGTTTTTCACACAAAACTGCATTATGCAAACTTTCACACAGCCTTTGATAGTAACACCACAACTCATCCCAGCATAGCTGAAATTAATAGTTGTACTAAGTAATGTCACACAAACTAATTTGCCAGAGCAAATGCCAGCCAGTCACAATATGAAATTATTATCTCTAGTAGACTGACTGAAGCAAACTCAATGAAGGATACAAATGCTGCATCGTCTGTCAGATGAGAAAATTCTTCACTGGGATATGCTGCAGTGGCCTACCTCTGCCTGTCCTACACTGAACAGACCAACAACAGTTCTATTTTTCCCATTACATCTGAAACCACAATATATACAAAAATAGTTTTATTTAAAGTAACATTCAATCCAGCCTATTACGAAGGCTAAAAAATCCCCCCTCGCTTATAACTTGCAAGCACACAACCCAGTTTTCCACAAATCTCAGCTGGAGAGCCTTTCTCTTCCTTTTCTTCTTAGAAGAAAGCAGCACGTTAGGCCTCTGGGTCTAAAAAGGTATTTTTCATTCTGTAGCACTGACTTTGAGACACAACCTTTTGACAAGATGGCACAGGAAAAACACATAAGGAAAAACATTCTTTATTAAGAGGTTTCAGAAGTCATTCTCTGAGTCATAATCCTCAGCTTTTTGCAGTGGCCGCTTAATACCAATTATTAAATCTATGGAGAGCAGTTCTGTAACACAATGAAGAACTGAGATGACTAAGTGGTATTTGCAATACACTGATTCTAAGCCTTTCCCATTCATAGGCAGTGGCTCATTTTTTCTGAGTGCATTTATGGCTCTGAAATAGAATTTGTTAAAGCTGTTTCGTTCTGTTGACCCGTACAAGGACTTGGGAATACTTAGCAGAGCATCAGCAACTATATTAGACACAACAGCTACCTCTGACTGCTGAAACTGTTTTGCATAGTACTGAATATAATAATGTAACAGGACTTCAAAGAAACCTCCTACTGGCAAAACTGATCCTGCTTTTATGAGAGAGCCAGAATAATTCTGTGCAGTACTTACACAACTCTTTCCATGTTCTAATGGGACTACATTGCAACTGGTTTTCTCTAGGTCTTTACCAACATCTAGACTTTCACATGCAGTGCCTGCATTAGCATTACATGCAAATACAGCAGTGCTCTGCTGCTTTTGACTGTCCACAAGTGAATCATTTTTACAGTTCTCGTGCACGGCACCCAAATGCTCACATTTTGCATGCGGTTTCTGTACACCTCGTGAAGAGCCATCTCCTTCAGTGGCACCACTTAATTCCTTGATGCGCAAGATGGGATTTGAGGGTATTTGCAAGTCTGTTTGCACATACACTGGATTATCACATACCTGCGAACCTGGGTCTACAACCTGTGTGTCTGCTTCATCCCTATGTGCTTTTGATTGACCTTCAGAAACCTGAGTACTGTTACAACAATTATTTTCTATTGCAAGTTGCATCTGAGTATCTGAAAAATGCCAACTGCAAACACCTGAGGCTTCACTCTGGCTTTCACCTTCTGCTTTGTAGTCCTCCCTCTGTTCAACTGTTTTAAATAGCTGCTGCAGCATTATAAATGCCTCTTGTAAAGCTGCAGCGTGTTGCTCATTAACACTATCGACTGGCCCACAAAGAATGAGGCAATGGGGCTGAAAGGTGCACACACTGGTAAAGCCAATGTGAACGCATCTCTTTGAGCCAAGCAGCAAGGGCTGGCAAAATGTTGCCATTGCGGTTTCCGTGATTTCCCCGCGCATGTTATCACCAAAAGGTGCACAAGGTGATACTCCTGTAATTTCACAAATAAGGGCCATTTCTTCCGATGATAAGCACTCTACCACAGATATACCGTATAATTTCGCATAGTAAATAACTACTTCCTCCTGCTTCACACTCGACAGTAACAGTTTAATGTTGTTGTTCCGCAAGTGTTTCATTAAGGCCTCTGCCCTCCTTGTGATCCACTGCAGGGAAGCGTGATACTGACCCTCGGAGTCGACAACAAACTCAACGCCGGGGGCCGAGAGGGCGGGTCGGAGGGGCTCGGTGATGAGCACGGCCCGCAGCTCCCCTCCTGCCGGGCAATAGGTCGCGAAGTCCCTGCGGAATACGAGCCCGGGCAGGACCCTAGAGCTCGCCACGGGGAGGCCGGCCACTGCGGCGTGCAGCTCCGCGAACCGACGGCCGAGGAGGCGCAGCGCCTGCGGGCGGGTGGCGGCGGCCGGGCAGCAGCGGCAATAGTACTCGGAGCAAAGCCACGCCAGGTGCCGCCGCTCGCCCGGCCCCAGCCGCCCGGCCAGGTAGGCCTCCAGCAGCGCCTCCAGGCCGGCCGCCTCAGCCTCCTCCTCCCGCCCGGCCAGCGCCGTCAGGAGGTGCCGCCGCACGCCCAGCGCCATGGCCCGCTCCAGCACCTGCGCTTCGAAGGCCTGCAGCGCCCGCCGCAGGCCGCCGCCCGCCGCGCACAGGCCTCGCAGCACGCCGGCCAGCAATATAACGAACGTCTTAGCGCCGTCCCCCGTCGCGGCGCGGTAGCTGCAGGCACACGCCACCATCATCCTGCGGGTACAGTGGCTGTTAACGGGACCGCGCTCCCCCGTCCCGCCCCGGCCCCGCCCCGCCCCGTACCTGGCCGTCGGCGGCTCCAGGCTGAGCGCCTCGAGCAGGCGCCTCCCGTCCCGCGTGAGCACCGCCTCCCCGGTGGCCCGCACCAGGAGCGCCCGCCCGCCCCGCGGCCCCAGGGCCCCGCGCACAGCGCCCGCCACAGCCTCCGCCTCCTGCGCCAGCCACCGACGCTCCAGCAGCCGCGCCATGGCAACCGCCGCTCTGCGCCGCCCCGCCCCTTCCGCCGCGCGTCACGCACACCGGGGGATGGGGCGCCGCGAAGGAGGCCGGGACCTTGACCTGGGCCCGGCGGGGGTAGAAGGGAGCGAGCCTTGGCAGCAGACGGAAGGGCGGCGCGGAGGTGCGACATGACTTTATTGACTTTAACAGTTCAAACGCCTTCAACAAACCGCGAGCCCCAGCGACGTACAGCGCGGTAACGGCGGCAGAAACACATGGAAAGGGTGGGCTCCGTGTCGCGGAGACTGACGTTCCCGCTTGGCGAAGGGAAAGGCCGGGGCAGGGCGGGGGCAGTGCAACCGCAGCGGGCACGTTAACAGTAAAAAGCCGAAATAATCTGCCCTTGAGGGTGGTGGTTTGTTATGGCTGTTTCTATAATTCCAGCAACTTCACTGTATCAGACGCTCCTCATCCTCCACTCCTGGCTCGCCAGAGAGAAAGAATCATTTAATGTGTTTTAATAGTTGCCGTTCTTCCCCCCGAGTCTGACTAAGCGGGAAGGCCAGTTTTCCGACACAAAAGCCCTCACAGAACGTCGCATACTACATATTGGCACAAACTTGACATACCTTCTTTACATGTCTCAGAACAGCAAGAAACCCATCAAGAAGGCACTGTTTACAATACTGGAATACCTGCTGAATTTTCTGTGATCTGAGGATTCCCTTGAAATAACAGTAATTAAAACTCCCAGATGAACAGAATCCTCGTTATTTACACAAACAGTGGTAAAGTGATAGCCTTTAAGAAACAATACAAAACACAGTATGCAAACTGTTCCATACACACCAGTCTAGTAAAATAAAACATAATTTGCCAAAAGGCACAGGAGGGCAGCAAATAACAAAAAAAAAGGAGGAAGAAACCACCGTCGTTACAGTTTACGGGGCAACCTTTCAAATGACTTAGGAGATTTAACTGGGGGTGCCAGGTGGGGACACTACCAGGCTATACCCTCATTTATGTATTGTCAATTTAAAAGGAATCCACATGTGAAATGCAGAACATTATCTGGTGCTGAAACTGATCCTTGCTACATTTCACATGGCATATTTGCTTTTTCTTACCTTAGGTCATCTCTACCTAACTAAGCAATCTGTACCTAAATGGCAAATTAAAGGCTTAGAGTGCATTTGAAAAAACCCAACAAACAAACCAAACTCAACAAAAGCACATGGCAACATGTTCTGAAAGTATTTCCTGTACAAGAAAACCCCCAAGTAAGTGTGGAAACAAGGTCCAGTTTACACTTTAAAAACTAGGAGGAGGTCACAGCCCTCACACATCTGCAAACTGTACAACCTATTTTTGTAATTGTGTGCAGAGCTCAGTCTCAAGTACATAATAGTCAAGATCGGCCACACATCATGCTTAACCAGGAGAATGGTGATGTGCTGAGGAAAAAGCTTCGTACATGCCTGTGACAAAGCTGTACGGTAAAAATCAGGCAAGAGATTTCCTTGTTCTATTCACATGGGGAAACATCATACAAACCCCAGCAAAACAGGAATTCCTACGATTTGGATGCACTTTCCAGAATATTAGTTATCTAACATAGCTGAGCAGAGGCTGCAATGTTACTTTTCCAGAAGTTTCATCATACATCCTTTGCCTTTGTGGATCATCACTAAAACAGCTTTTACAACAGAATAAAAAAATAAGTTGAAAATAAGCACAAGTGTTTTCTCTGTTCACTTATCTTGAACTGAATATGAACTTCAGACATAGAGTATCTATTTAGTCTGACATTGTCCAGCACCATTCTGCCAGCCAGCTGGCTGAGGCAAATGCACAGTTACTACCATGCAGTCTGTGTAAAAATACATGCAGACTGTGTTATTAACTGATCTTGAATAGAAGTGATTAAAAAAATCAACATGAAAGGGCAGAAGGATATTTCTATTTACAAGGGAGATAAAAGGTGTAACTATTACTCAAAGAGTTTCAGCACCACAAATTTAGCAGTGTTATTTTAGGGGACTGAAGTTACTGCCCAAATTCTCACTTGTTTCTTCTTGTATTACTCTCGTACAGAGTATGGTTAAAGGCTGTTGTAATGGATCTTAAGACATGTAAAGCTTCGACATCTGAATGTGATAATGAATGGCCAAATTCCAGGCTGAGAACATTAATTCTGTAATATTCTGCTTTCTTTATGCCACTTCATACATGGCTAATGACTTCAGTTTCTGTTTAGAGACTTAACTTGGGGACTTTGAACATTAACAAATTTTACCTCATCAGCTGTAGATATAATGCAGATATCTTTCATTCTCTAGCCAGTCGAGTTTGGTCTTGCCCACCTATGCAAGATCACTCTCGTTAAGGTACCACATGGCAGAAAATTACTCAAGACCAAATTATGCTAATATGCAGCTGTAAGAAATAAGCTGAAGTTGACTGCTTAAGCAAGAAACTTATGTTCTTAAGCAAGAAACTTTTATGGTTCTTGCTTAAACATACATAAAGGAATGGTAGAGGGGAGGTGTGTGAAGGTATCAGCCACAGTGATGTATGATGTAGACGAATAAACAACTAAATAGTATTTTACTAAATACTAGTGAGACTGATGCAGAACAGAGAGTTAGGGAGGCTACCCAAGAGAAGAGGGGTAACCAGGCCATAGCAAAAAGCCAAATGTGGCCCCTGAACTGTTGCACTGCCTGGGATAATTTGATTTCTGAGCAGATCCTCTAAAAACAAACTTGGCTGCCCTTTGCATTGTGCCACCCATCCTCCTGTTGCCTCATCTGGGTTACTGAGAGTACCTCTACAATATTACAGCCCCTTTTTTACTTGGTATGCTTGACTGGCCTAAGGAATTCACCAGATAAACACTGGCACTAAACTTTTTTGCTTGAATTGTACAAGTTCTATACATGCATATATTTCTTCAAACAAAAATGTTAGAAACCCTGGTTTTAAACTGAAACTTGAGCTTCACATTAATAAGTATAGCTACAGCATAATGAATAGGTGCATCCGTGTGTTCTGCTAGGTAGTATATACTGCAGTAAGGAGGAATTTAAGAAAGACTTAGGGTTTCACTCTCATTTGCTTTGATATGTGTGTTGTCAGCCATCCCACGACTTCTGAAGACTTTCCCCTTGTAAACATGCACATTTTCGTTTGCAAGTGAGCTCATGATGGTGCCCGAATTCTGTTCTACGTCGTCTGCCTTTTGGGAGGTTCAAGTCAAGCTAGACACCAAGCACACCTCTGCATCTTCACATTTTGTTTCAAATAGAAGAAGAAAGTCCTGCAATCAGCAGTCTGTCTGCTTATTGTGACAAGGCCGTGCATAAACGTAAATTCAAAGCTGTAGGTCTGTCAAGACTTCCAAACACAGCATAAATCCTTGATACTTACAACATGTGAGAGAGTGGACTAAGACAGTACCTTCCCGGGTGCTGCACTGTTAAAAAGGTGCTCTGTACAGTAGATGCAGGAATGTCTCTATGAAGAATCAGAAATTTTAAAACTATAAAAATAAAACAGCTGGCTTACAAGCCACTGTAGTAATAATTCAGGATAAAAACTCATACTTCCAAAACAAATCAAGGACATCACACTGCAGAATTCCCAAAGACGTCAGCTTTCTGCTAGTTCCTAACATTCATTATCTTTGTATAATAATGTATTTGTTTGACCTTACACAAAAGTTTACTTCCAAACACTCAATGCCATTTACAAAAACGGTTGGCTACTTCAAAAGTTCCTTCTTTACAAAAATGGGAAGGTTAAATGTAACAAAGTATGCTTGTTTATCATTCTACCATAACAGGAATTGCATCCTACCTACAACGTCTGACCTCTGAATTCTCAATTTCATCTAGTCTGTGGTGAAGATTCATCAGTACAGCGTATGACGTAATAGAAAACACAAGGCTGATGTCATATGTGAGACAGAGGCACACACCAGGAGCAAGAGTGTACTGGCACTTACACAATTCTTACTTCAACTGGGTAGATGGGGAGTATGATTCTGAACCATGGATGCTGAGGCAAAGTTCTGTAAGCTGTTGCTACAGGGCTCTTTTAGATAATATTGCATCATTTAAAGTCTGACTTAAAATATGGTCCCCAGTAACAGTTTGATCATTCCAGTTCAGAAAGGCCCTTGTTCACACTTCCTATTTGAACAAGAAATTAATGGCAAGCTGTAGCAGAACCATGACTGAAATGAAGACATAGTGCTTAAACTGCAAGAAATGGTAGTCCACAGGTGGTGTATTAGAAGTGACTCTGTTTCTCAGAGCCATAATGTCCCTGTAAAATAGAAAATAATATCCTGTAAATGACATTCTAGACAATTTGGCATTTTCTAGTGTGTTAGGGCTTCATACAGAAGATGGGTTTTGAGGAAAATTCTGAAACATCAATGAGCAATCAAAACTTGGGAAGGAGGACAGTTTAAAGACATCAAGGTTCTAAAGCAGAAAGATACATACCAGCCTCCAAGGAAAAAAAGATAGAAAATTAGTATGTTCTATGCCATTTTAAAGTGTTTAATTTAGTACTACCTTTTAATTTCTTCTTGCGTTTCCTTTATAGATTCAATGGCACTCTGCAGTTCACCAAGGTCTGCCCCTTTTTTCCTTATTCTTGTGTTATGCTTCAGAAGTTGTGCTAGAAAGATACAAAAGCCAGATGTAATTCAGAGGTGTATAAGTCAAAAAAGGAAGAAGATACCAATGACAAACTAAACCAGTTGCAAAAATGAGAATAAACTTTTCTAACTAAGCTTCTGTTGAAAACTAAAGTTTTATTTCAGTCACCTATAGCACAGAAGGACAGCAAGTTAAGCACTTGAAGTATCTTATACCACTGTTTTGAGCACAATGCATTCCAACACTCATACAAATCTACCTTCTAGCAACACAGTGATCTACAAATTAAAACAATTCATCCTGTTTTAAGAAAGAAGAGAGTTTACAGACACATTTGCCCCCCAAACACACTTACGTGCAGCACTTAAGGACACCTTTGCTACATACTGATGTTGAAAAGGACAGGAAAGCTTGCAATTAATACCATGAGCTGAGCCCATCTGCTCCTTCTGTTTTTCCAGAATGTGCTTGGATAGAACTAAGATCTAAAGCATGCATTATTTCATAATACAAACATCAAGTGTATGTGTGATTACAGAACTCTGTCAAATACATTTATTACTTCTGTATGCAAATACATCTTGTCCTACCTTCACTCCCAGAGGAATCCTGGTTATCAGGCTCTGGGGATGAGAAACCACACTCTCCTTTCTTCTGGCTGGCTGGCTTTCGTTTGATTTTTGGAACACTAACCTACAATTGATAAACTTACGAATTATTTCAGAGAACCAGCACTGGAGCAAAGCAGGACATTCTTACAGTAATAGTTAAAAGCAATACCCAATAAAAGCCCAAGTTAACACTTCTGATTTATCAGCGCTTTTTGCATCTTCCCGCTTAAAGGAAAATACATATTAAACTGTTGAGTTCAAGTCTGGTTATTTTATATTCCTATCGTATTAAGTAATTTCTAGTGGTTTGGATGCAACACAAGTTAAAACTATGGACTGGGTAAACTACATTTTTGTAGGATCACAACAGCATTTCCCATTGCTCCCAATGCTTTGATGACCTTTGCACACATAATACAGTATCTACAAGTCCCTGGAGCTTGCTGCATGCACTAACAGACATGGAACATACCATTGGTGTCCGATGTCGAACTTTTGTTTGGATGGTGCCATCTTTTTCGAATTGGATCATATCATTCAAAGGGTCCCATGGTCTGGTACTAGACAAAACAAATATAATTGATTAATACCACCTAAAGCCCAGTCCTAACCTGAAGACCCAAGAAAGTAAAGAAAAATAAGCTTTATATCCAACAACTCTCAGCCAGCTGGTAAGAGTACGAACTACTGAATTAACCAGCAATACCAGCCTGAATTTATTTGGCTAGTGATATGTATTTGTCAAACATGGAGAGGTTTTCTGCTTCAGAAAGAAGAGAAAAAAAAAATCCTCTTATTAATGTACAATTATTATTTTAGAATTACAGGGAAATTGGGGGATTTAAAACCTTATTGTTATTTTGGCCTGCTTTTCTTTTTTGCTCTTTTTAGAAGATGCCCGGGAAAGAGAGATTAAGAATCGGTGATCTCAAACCTGTTTTCATCCCAAAGTGGCTAATGTTAATCAAGACTGGTTTCAAGAGGTACTATGAGCTACACGCAGTTTTCTTGTTCTGATTTTCCAAGAGTGCTTTTCCAAGTGCAGGTCGACAGAAAATTAAAATTAAATAAATAAATAAACAAACAAACAATTATGAGCATACACAGCTCACTGGAGAACAAGCAGCTGCCAAAGGCAAAGACCAACATTCTCACTAATTACAGCCTTTTCAGGATACAAACTGCAGGCCAGCTGTGGGAAGATTGTTCTGATGCACAGCTTTAGTGAGAGCAGATTAAGCATGGATTTCCTTTCATCTCCTCCCACATGCCTTTTAAAAAGTTCGTAGCTGTTTCAGATGTTGTGACCACAAACCTGCATTTACATCTTAGCGTAACCTGACAAATTCAATACCATCATAGGTAACTGGGTTCAAAACTAGGCAATGCTCTCCCAAAGGTCTTTTGTATCTGTAACCCAGATACCTTAACAAATGCCACAGCTCAATGAATGCATCTTTCACAGTAAGTGTGAAAGACAGCTGTCTACATGGATGAGGTGGTGAGCCAGCATTATATGTGTAAAAGGAGACAGCAGTTTTGTCTGGAGACTGCTGACAGTATAGACTGCTTTCTATCACACAGCATAATTTCCATGGTGCATCCTTCAACCACAAGGCCTCAAGGAGACATGAAATAATGCACAGTAACAAAACAGACTGTCCCCTGAAGCTTTAAGACCTAACAGGTCTAAAGTGCAGTACTTTTCCTGGTGACATAGTTCAATAGTATAGGCAGTTCAGCTGCACTGTTCACAACTCTTCCAACAAGAACAGGCATCAAGAGCACTAGAAGGTTCAAACCAAGAGAGGGTGATTCACAGAGCATTTGATCTAGCTGGGGAATTCCCTGAGGCAGGATGTTTTCGGTAGTAAAGGGCTAGGCTCCAAGCTGACTTTTGCAAACACTGGCAAAACAGAGAATGCATCCCAGCAGTCAGGGAGACAGCTATGTCTTCATTTTCTCATCCAGATCATCATGCAAAGAGATCCACACTCATGTGCAGTCCACATCTCTGACAGCTGATCTGAACCACCTGGTCCCAGCATTAACGTTGCTGCAAACATGTTATTCTCAGAGTTCAGCTCAATTAAGCACAGGCCTTCCTGACTTCCAGACACTAGATTTTTCTGACTTCCACTTGGTATGCCCATATGTACCATATTTTCCAGTCTGGGAAAATCTGTGTAGCTGCTCTGGTCAGTCTGGGAGAGGGGAAGAAATGAGCACAACACATCATCCCAAAGTGCCACGGCCAAGAAACTCTAGAACATAGCATGAATTTGTAGAGGCACATAAAGATAAAAAAAGAAAAAGCCCATTGCAGTGGTTACATGAAACATGGTTTGCTACATTAGCAATCCCTGCCTTTTCAACACTAAAAGGGCCAGTCAAGTTCAGCTAAAAAAACTACGCATTTGAATTAAAGCACATAAATAAGAATATCAGGTGACACTGCATATTTCACAAGTTTGAGCTGAGCTGAATATCCACGTTCTTTTGCTCCTGAAACCACAGGAAGAGGCTCAGCAACACTAACAAGGAATTAACAAGCAGTTCTGGTAACAAGCACATCAGGACTCACTCTGCATATTTGTAGTGCCATTCGCCTGTGACTGAATCCTGATCAAACAGTTTGCACACCCACTCTTCACCCTTCAGTTTTCTCTCTTTGGCACTCTTTCTCTGAGCTTCTTCCAGAACATACTTCTCTTGAGTAGCTTCCGTTTGGTCTTTATTATTTATTGCTCTTGTCACTTGTTGCCAAAGCCTGACAAACAAGCAGAGAGTTACAATATGCTTGGCAAATAATTGCAAACATTTCCTTAGTTATAGGTTAAATAAATGGAACAACCTCTAAAAATAATATTACTGTGTTGTAATATATGTTTTATCTACATTTCCATCAAGACTTTCCATGATTGCAAGGTTTGTAAATAAAGATCTTGTATTTAACACTGTTGCTTTCTTGTTTTACAGGCCAACAACAGCAAACAGGGGAAAGAAAGAAACAATAATCTGTTCATAATTTGTAGAAGATGATGTGCTTTATTTTGTCAAAATAACTATACATGGTTCTAAAGTGAACTTACTTCTCTGACTCAAAGTCATCTTGCTCTTCAAACTTCACTGTGTACCTTGGTAATCTACGCTGCTTGATATCAGACGTTGGGTTCCAGAATGTCTCTGAAACATCTGTCTTCTTCTCACTAATGGTAACTTCACTGTCCTGTAAAATATATAATTCAGTTACCTTAATTGTAATAACCTCAGAGAGTGCCAAAGTAACATAAAAGGGAGAAAAAGGCCTATTTTTTTTAAAAATGAGAATTTTCTTTCATTTGAATGAATGTAGTTAAGAACAATTAGATATGGTAACTTTAAAATTCAGTTCTGACTTGGAGCAGAGTTGCAATGAATCAGCGGTTGCCTCACCAGAACTGAAACAAGTACAAACACTTCATGCTGGTCCCATAACCATTCTTCCTAGCACTAACACATATACTAAAAACATTTCACAAGCTGAAATGTACGTCCTTAACTACTCAAACTGACATAACTTTTCCACCTTTTAACAGCTGTAAATAATACTATGTTGATTCTATACTTTCTTGAAAACTAAGTATAAAGAGATACTTTCTATAAAAGTGGTACTTAATCAACTCCTTTTTAAAGATTTAAGTATTTTTCTTTTTTTTTTAAACTAAGTGCTATTTCACCCATCCCAACTATCAGCCAGAATATAAAGTCTCATCAATCACTACTTACCCAGTGACCCTCCAAAATAGCCAGAACTTCTTTGCCAAGCTTAATTTTCCCTGATATTTGGTTAACACTGTCATTGTTGCCCAAAAAAGGCTGCAAAACAAAAAGAAATGCTTTCATGTTTATTGTAATACAGATTTATTTTTGCATTTATGTTTAGTATTAAGGAAAAAAAATGAAGAAATGTGATGCAAACAGCCCTGGTGACTTTTAATGTTATAACTTCTGCCTCTTTAATTCCCAAAACAAGTCTAAAACCACAGTAAGTTGTTCTCTCATGCCCTGTTCTTAAAGGATTTACTGAGCAAAAGCATTGCCTAAGAAATGGGGAAAGAGAACAGAAAATAATGCAGAAAGCAATGACACAATGATAATCTTGGAGGGCATAGTCATTTGCTACGCTAATCTCACCACTCTGACAAGGGCCATTTGTTACTTAGAGATTAAGTAACAACAGAATTGATTGCCTGGGATTTTCTTTGGCCTTTTTGATGACCTGCACATGTATTCTGTGGGCTGATGAGGCAAAATATCAACACAGTCTCCTTTTATGTTTCCCCTATTATTTCAACTGAATACAGCTTCCCCCTCCATATGCACACTTCTTAACAATTATTCACTCAGCCTTAAATCAGTGTCTGTTTCAAAGATGGCGAATGTATTTTATCAGAAGTGAAAGCCATCTATAAGTAGTTTAGAAACTTTTATTTAGCTTTTGTGAGTGGAGGGATGTTCCTACAGCATACACAGCTGCCAAAAATAGTCCATACAAACTGTTGCTTAGCACTGGGCATTAGGCTGACATAAATGTTAGCCAAAGCCTTTGCATCATCTTTATTTGAGGTAAAACAAGCAACTGAAGTTTACCCCAGAGAGAAGAGGGGAACCTGGGTCTGAGTTTTCCTCCAATGGCTCTCCAGGAGTTTAAAAGAGACCCTGAACATGTTTAGAGAATTAAAAGTCACCAAGGTGTATTAACAACAATAAGTTGTTAATAAGGCATAAAATACCTGAACCACCGATCAGATCACTGCTCTTACACTTTCCTAGACACTGTTGCCGCTGCTGGAGATAAGACAGACCTTTGCTTTTTCCCCAGTAGTGGTGCTCTTAACATTCATAACACTAGCAATATGCTTTCATCTCTTATCACCAGAGATGAAGACAGCACTGTAAATTTCAGACAAAAAACTCTGGACTCAGAAGAATACACTACGAAAAGAGAGGACAATATAATTCCTCTTAAATAAATAAATAAATAAAATATCACTATTTGCTAGAGACGCATAGCTGGATATGTAGCAGTTAAAGTGAAAATTCCTCAAGTTTCCAAAAAGACAATTCCATATTAAATCAGACTGTATCTAAGGAATAGCCTAATTTCCATATATATATTTTTTTTTCAATTCTCATTATACTCATTCACCTTAGAATCATAGAATAGGGTTGGAAAGGACCTTAAGATCATCAAGTTCCAACCCCCCTGCCATGGGCAGGGACACCTCACTCTAAACCATATCACCCAAGGCCTCGGCCAACCTGGCCTTGAACACTGCCAGGGATGGAGCATTCACAACCTCCCTGGGCAACCCATTCCAGTGCCTCACCACCCTAACAGGAAAGAATTTCCTCCTTCTATCCAATCTAAACTTCCCCTGTTTAAGTTTTAACCCATTACCCCTTGTCCTATCACTAAAGTCCCTAATGAAGAGTCCCTCCCCAGCATCCCTATAGGCCACCCCCTTCAGATACTGGAAGGCTGCTATGAGGTCTCCACGCAGCCTTCTCTTCTCTAGGCTGAACACCCCCAACTCCTTGTGCCCACTCACAGCATTTACTAACCTTAAGTTTGAATTCAATTGTTGCACTGTAACCAGTTTTCTCACAAGTGATGTTGACTGTTCCCCCAAGCTCTAAGGTCATTGTGCCATAAAGAATTCCTGCAAGAGAAAAAAACAACTAAAATGATTATTTATAACTGAACAAGATAAAAACCCCAAGTTCATTGGGCACAATTCGTGGAGTAAACATGTCTGTGCCAGAGGAAAAAAATCATCTTTTCAGATGACCTTTCCTAATGATAAGCATGATATTTCTGCCACGTAAGATAGATCCTTTTTGTTTCTGTTTGGGTTAGGTGAATTACATATAAGCAGGAAAAATGGTTTGAGACATATCTTTGGTGTTGTATGCTGCTGGCTCTAGCAAGGGGGGTATTTAGTCTTATTGGAGGTGATTGGAGGATGGAAGCTTTTGTAGTTAAGGCTGGCAAATTACTGCATGACAAAGAGAGCAAAGAAAAACTTCACTTGAACAGCAGCAGTATGTGTAGTCACACCACAGGCGATGACAATCATGGACAGCCTATGTAAGACAATGGGGATCACCTCCCTAAAGATTTCTGGAAGTGCAAAGTTGACAATGCTGAATACAATTTCTTTTCCATGATTGCTGTCTTTTCCCCTGCCATCATCCAGCATTTAAACCACTATATATTTTACATACAGTGAATGCACATGCAAATATATTTTTTTTAACCACGCAATCCTCCTTCCCTCCGTATTCTTCTTTCTCCCTCTCTTATCGGCTTTATTAACCATACTAGTTCCCCTCCTTCCTGTTTAACTTAAATATATTTATGTTATGTGCTTTTTAGTTGTTAAGTATTATTTTAGTCACCAAAGCCATAAAAAAAAAAGCCAGAGTATTAAAAATTCCATGAACAATGGGAAGAGCTTACAAAATTAAGGTCAGATTATGTAATTCTGCTAACTGATTTTCATACATCTTGAAAGAAGAGTTGTTATAGTTGCTGACTATAAGGCTTCTGAAAGAGAATCCTGGCAGAGAACAGATAGCTAAACCTGAGTAAGTACCAGTTTAAAAATCAGCAACTCCGCAACGTATATCGTACTACCACTGACCTTCCAGAAACCTTTAAGAACTACTGACTGGTTTCCCATCATGAAACTAAAAACAAATGGCCATGATTTACACTCAAATCACACAGTGAGGTATAGATACTACATTGCCTTTTATAAGAGGAAAACATTGGAAAAGATCAAAACTGTTCATTTTAAACATAGATTTGTTTAATGTATATTTAAATTTCAAGTATATTTAAATTACAAACAGTAATTTACTGCCATGTAATGATAAATAGATACATATATCCTCTTACTATTTATGGAAAATAAACAAATAAATTTTCTGTGCCAAAAAATGTATCACTGCTTAAATAACAGATGTATTTTTCTCCTGGTAAAATATGTGGAAGCCTAGAGCCACCAATATTCCTAATATTCAGAACACTCAGCTGACAAGCTCGAAGTCAGCACATTATACTATGTAGAATAATGTACTATTTAGAATAATAAACTCCTGTTTTCATAATTTTGCCATCCAGAGAATGAAAAAAAGCCCATTACCTTTACAGTGAGCATATGGCATTGTCATTACATAATCTTCTCCCCTGTTCAGGAATGTTAGCCGTCCTTCTCCATCTAGTATGGCAGATAATGAATTCCCTGAAATTCAAAGACAGCATATTGTGTTTCTCACCTCACAAGACAACAGTCAACATTTCATAGTAACTGAGCAATAAAATTAAGAACAGTGGTATATTTAGCATTGCAATCTATCCTGTCTACTGAAACCACTATAATACACAGCTTCTCCAATTAAAAACTTTAAAATGCTCCAAAAAAAAATAGAAATTACAATTCCAAAGACCAGTAGCAAAAACTTCTCAAGGAATAGATAATACAGTGATCAACACCCTGACTCTTCTAACAGCCTTCTCTTATCCTCAAAACATGTCATTTGCACTGATTTTATACTCCTTAATAAACGTACAAGCAAAAAAAATATCCATTCTTTACCATAGAATTTTGATTTGGCCAGAATGCTACCACTAAGGCAGAAACCATCCTTGCGGTTGCTAACATAGAAGGCAGATATTGGAGGATGATGTGACACCTGTAGGGAAAAAGGGAAAAAAGCACATATTTGAAGAAAAGAAAAAGCAAAAGAAGAAAAAAGGAACATGCAATATAGCATAAACCTTGAGCTAATAGTAACAGAATGCAAAATTCAGGCTGCACATGATAAGAATACGGTTAATATATGTGAAATGCGACTACAATCTTTAAAGATCAAGCAAACACATAGTTTCACAAGCTAATAAAATTAGCACCTGACTTTTGTTATAGAAAGAGGGAACAGAAATGCTACAAACATCTTTCTGTCTCTCTAGGAAGACACACTTAAAAGAGACATCTGTAAAAAAACCTGTTCTTACCACAACAGAACTAGAATATAACTCATACATTTAAATACATTTTCTGAAACCACTACACCATTTGGCTGCCACAAAAATGCAACACATTTATGTTTCTTTAAAATATTTCTTCCAGTTATTGCAGCTACCTGTTCTGCAATGTAAAAAGTCTTGCTATTCGTCCTTGGATGAATCCACATGCAGCGGAAGGTCTCACCAAGTATAGGATTGTACGGCTTTTTTAGTCCCTAAACAGAAATAGAACAGAGAGTAACCATTCAATGCAGGTACAGAACTCAAAACTTTATCTGTCACTGAAGATAAGACACAGAATAAATACAACCACAGCACGTAAGCTAAAGAACACTGTACTTGAGTTCATGATTTGAGTATTATGCTGAGTTACTCTGCTCCTCACTCTAAGGAAATTAACTTAGATTTGGTCTATCTGCTTAACTATTCCAGGCTACACTTAAAGACAAACAGAATATAAGGTCTTTTTGTATTAAAATTATTACAGACCTTTGTCTCAAGTTGGGTAATGAGTACTTTCTTCTTTCACTACTGTTTCCCACCAACATAAAGAATATTTAGTGTAAAGCTAAATAAGTAGTGGAAATATTAATCCTTCAGCTGCAGCATGTTATCACGGAAGAAAGGTAAACATAGAACTGGCTCCACTTTATCACAAAATGTTTAGTTCAACTTCTACTCCAAGAGTAAAAAAACAATTGAATACAGTCTATTCTAAGCATGGCTAGAGACCAAAAATGTCAATATGTGTAAATAACAAAGTTAACCTTGCTTTTAAAAAACACCCAAGAATATAATCTAAAGAGAAAACTTACGCTAGCACATCCCTGAGCCCTCAAAGCAGACACAATGACTAAAGACAAAATAACGTGCGACAGGATACCTTTGGCTTTTTGTAGAATCCTGACAAATACCACTTCACTACTTTTTTCATGCGGTTGTAAGCATTCTCTTCAAGAGCAGCTCTATGAAACAAAAAGAACACACATCAAATACCAGTACTGTTTAAGTTACAACACATGCATCAATCATCGTGATGTATCTTGAACCTAGGAGCTGACTAGGGTTTGTGATTGGTGCTACTGTAAAACTTTCAGCCTGAGTGCTTCAAATTCACACTTTTCAAATAATTGTCTGAAAATGGAAATAAAACAAAAATCCAGAAATGGTATTTCTGTAATTGAGTCTGTTCTTTGTAACATTAAATCCTGTTCCAGTAACACTGAAGATCTTCCATTTATAAGATACTGCTTTAGAGAACTGGATTACTCATGCACAGGACTCAGAGTTGAATAATATTTCCATTTATAGTAATTTATTTGTTACCTACATTTGAGAAGGGAACCAGAAATCTTGAATGAACTTCATATTGTATTTAAAAGATTTACCGGTACTGTTTTATCCATTTTGAATATGCCTCCCAAAAAAACAAAGCAAGCCTAATTTTGTGAAGTCTGCCATCCAGTCTTCAAAAGCTAAATCAGAAATGTCTGTAACACAATTGCTATTAAATTACCAAGAGGGCCAGACTTCAAGAATTACTGTATGAGCTCTCAGGCAGTTAGTTTTCAGAGAACAAGGACATCTGATGACTGATACACTTTCAAACAAACACTCAGACTAAGTAGTCTACAGTGTTTAAGCAGATCAGATCAAATGTTTCAGTATACACCGTTAGCCCATTTTTGTTTAAATAACTGAAAGAATGAAAACCAGAGATAGAATTGACTCACTCAGACAAAAAGTCTGCATGGTAGTAGTAATCAGACAGCTTGTCCAGGAAAGAACGAGGTTCCAAGATAAATGTAGGCAGTACAACCTTGGACAAGTCCATTCCTGGCCGGACTTGCTTCAGTAGTGTCCAGATCAGACTTTTGTTTTCTTCTGACACTACTTCTGTCTGAGCAGCCTCCCCCGCCTAGAATGAACAAAAAATGCTTACAGAAAGGATAAAGGAAATAATCCTCCAGAAGACAAATCAACATATTTTAAAGATGCAATGAGAATGGAAAAATGGATACTTCAGATGAACTACTCAAAGAAGCTGGAGCAACTATGGGAGAAAAAAAATCAAGTTTCTCTAAATACATTTACGACACATCTTTAATGACATATGCTGTTATTGTTCAGCATTAAAAAGTGAAGTTGTTGTCATCTTTTAAGAGAAAGACTGAGGTAGAATGTTATTCAGGAAACCTCTCTTAATCCTTTCCTAGGCATCAATCAAGTACATTACCCTGTGTTCTCACATGCAGGACTTCTATAGCAAAGGGCTGTTAATTCTACCAACGTTTCCCCCACCACAGAAGTTGCCACATCTATGCTTTTTATTTGACCACTCAACAATATCAGTGGGTTTTCTTTCCTTAAAGAAAACCACTGCTTAGGGGTAAATATGCAGAACCAGAAGCCAGACTCCATTGTGCTCCTTTCTGTCCAAGAAGAGGGGAGATATTCTTCCTTACAGTTTCTGAAATCAACAACAAAGGTTCTAGGAAAAGCATCCCTCCTTCCAGAACAGTTCTACAATGCATACTCAAGAATTTACAGTTAACTTAAACTCAACTTTTCCTAAATTACTGCTTTTCCTAGAAACAAGAGTAGAAAGCAATAAAGCACAAAGTATTTACGTCCCATGGGGATGAAAAAGAAATAAAATCTTGTCATTAGCACCTGCGAATAAAGTGAAGATTTGTGAAAAAGCTCACCTCACTTTCTGTTACTAAACTTTTTTGTATCTTTCAAGTAAATAAAACATACAAATCCCTGTTGTGTTTGCTTGTGTAGATATGTAAGACAACCTGCATAAGTAGAATGGCAGCTCTGGGGCACCTTATTAGAGTGTAAGGGGACATCAAAAACACAGCAAGTTCCACTGAATTCTGCAGACCCCACAGGTGCTTAGCTCCTCTCTTGCAGTACAAAAAGAGGTGTCAACTTGAATTAAAATCTTCAACTTGGAGATTTTTACTTGAAGAAAATAACAGGAATAAGTTAATAAAAATGAGATAGAAATAACAACAAAAGGACAAATAGATATGGTCAACTTCTGCTGCATGTGGCACTTTCAAACTGAGCACCTGCTGTCTGAGCAACGTTACAGATAATCTCGTTATCTGTCAAAATATCAGACACAAGCACAAGAGTGGCAAAGTAGAGCACAACACAGGTGAACAGAACTTCCACCCCCCCTCCATTATTGCTGAAACTATGAAAGCCAATCCTGCAACTCAGTTTTCAAGCATAGACTAATACCAGCTTTCTGTATGGACAAGCTGCTTGCTTGCCACATCAACAGCACTTTTACCTCCCCAAGTTCTTCATGACTCTGTTCTACGTAAGTAGTTTCCTTGATATCAATTGGTTCTGGATCAATGTAAGAATCATCCTGCCGCTCCGATGTGTCGCTGTCACTTTCTTCGCTTTTCCCCAACCCATCATTATCAGATTCTTCGTGGTCATGGTCATTTTCCTTATCAGATTTGTCAGAGTACGTATCATGATCTTTAAAGTGATGCCTTTCAATTTCACTGTCATTCAACCTACAAAAAAATAAAGGCTATTGAGTCTTCAACTTCACACAGTGATGCCATGTTTCCAAAACAGGATCTTAATAAAATTCAGCTAAAGCTGCCCATTTCAAGCTTGATCTGGCAGCAATGTCAAACTAGCTTTGCTGGAAACATACAGGATATATTCTTCTCAGTGAACTGTCAAACACGCCAAGTTTAGAATAGTTCCATTGGAAAGGACCCACAATGATCATGTAGTTCAACTGCCTGAACGCCTCAGGGCTGACCAATGGTTAAAACATGTTATTAAGGGCATTGTCCAAGTTCCTCAAACACTGGCAGGCTTGAGGCATCAACCACCTTTCCAGGAAGCCTGTTCCAGTGCTTAACTACCCTCTAGGTAAAGAAACATTTCCTAATGTCAATTTTGAATGCCCTCTGACACAGCTTGGAACCATTCCCTAGTACTAGATACCAGGGAGAAGAGCTCAGCACTTCCCTTTCCACTTCCCCTTCTCAGGAACCTGGAGAGAGAAATCTTAAGTCACCCCTCAACCTCCATTTCTCCAAACTAGACAAATCCAAAGTCCTTAGCCACTCATCACAGGATATTCCTTTCAGCTCTTTCACCAGCTTTGTTGGCCTCCTCTGGACACATTCAAGGACCTTCATAGTCTTCTAAATCCTGGGGCCCAGAACTGCAGACAGGACTCAAGGTGAGGCCTGTCAGCCTGACCTCAGTGGCAGGGAAGACCATGGAGCAGATAACCCCAAGTGAGACCACAAAGTGTATGTGGGAAAACAGGGGGATCAGGCCCAGTCAGCACGGGTTCATGAAATGAAGTCCCACTTGATCAACCTGATCTCTTTCTACAACAAGGAGATACACTTAGTAGTTGAGGGAAAGGCTGTGGACATTGTCTATTTGGACTTCAGTAAAGCCTTTAACACTGTCTCCCACAGCATCCTCCTGGAGAAACTGGCTGCTCATTTACCAGACAGGTGTGTTCTTCGCTGGGTTGGAAACTGTCTGGATGGCAGAGCCCAACGAGTGGTGGTAAATGGTGTCCCATCTAGCTGGTGACCAGTCACCAGTGATGTCTCTCAGCGCTCAGTGCTGAGGCCAGTGCTGCTTAATATCTCCACTGATGATCTGGATGAGGGGATTGAGTGCACCCCCAGTAAATCTGCAGTTGACACTAAGTTGGGCTGGAGGATAGGAAGGCTCTGCAGCGGGATCTGGAGAGGCTGGATCGATGGGCTGTGGCCAATGGTATGAGGTTCAACAAGACAAACTGCCAGGTCCTGCACTTGGGCCATAACAACCCTGTGCAATGTTGGGGAAAAGTGCCTGGAAAGCTGCTCAGTAGAAAAGGACTTGGGAGTGCTCACTGATGGATGCTGAACATGAATCAGTTCGTGCCCAGGCAGCCAAGAAGGCCAATGGCATCCTGGCCTGTATCAGCAATATCATGGCCAGCAGGACCAGGGCAGCGTTCATCCCCTGTATGATCATCAGTGGTGAGGCTGCACCTTAAATCCTGTGTTCAGTTCTGGGCCTGTCACTACAACAAAGACATTGAGATGCTGGACTGTGTCCAGAGAAGGGCAGCAAAGCTGGTGAAGGGTCTGGAGCACAAGTGTGATGGGGAACAGCTGAGTGAACTGGGGGTGTTCAGTCTGGAGAAGAAGGCCTAGTGGGAAACAATGCTCTCTACAACTACTTGAAAGGAGGATAGAGAGAGGAGGTGGCTGGTCTCTTTTCTGAAGTAACAAGTGACAGGACAAGAGATAACAGCCTCAAGCTGCACCAGGGGAGGTTTAGACTGGATGTTGGGAACAATTTCTTCACAGAAAGGGTGCTCAGGCATCAGAACAGGCTGCCCAGGGCAGTGGTGGAATCTGTCCCTGGGAGTGCTCTCAAACCATGCAGACAAGGCCCTCAGTGACATGGGTTAGTGGTGGCTTTGGCAGTCCTGGGGTAATGGTTGCACTTGATGATCTTAAAGGTCTTTTCCAGCCTGGTTGATTCTATGAACACAGTGGGATCATCACCTCTTTTGGCTGGCTGGTTATGCTGTGTTTGCTGCACCTCAGGTGAGGCTTGCCCTCCCGGCTGCCAGGACACACTGCTGGCTCCTGCTGCAGCTGCAGCCAACCAGCACCCCCAGGCCCCTCTGCACAGGGCTGCTGTTCAGCCACTCCTCTCACAGGTTACACTTCTGTCTGGTGTTACTCAGCCCCAGGCACAGAACCTGGCATTTGTTCTTGTTAGATTTCCTGCCACTGATGTCTGCCCAATGCTCCAGTCTACATAAAGCCCTCTGCAAGGCTCCTCAGGCGAGTTCACAGCACCTCCCAGTTCAGCATCATCAGCAAACTTGCTAAGGATGAATTCAACTCCTGCATCCAGATAACTGATAAAAATAGTGAACAGAACAGGCCCCAGGACTGATCCCTGATGAACACTGCTGGTGACTGGTCACCAGCCACAGATAGCCCGATTTACCCCTTTGAGCACTGCCCTTCAGCCATTTCTTCACCCAGTGCATTGTGAATCTGCACATCTCACAGCTGGATAACTTGTCTAGAAAGGTGCTTCACAGCCTTACCGATAAGGAACATCCACCATCTTCTCTTCATCCACTAGGCAGCTGACTTGGATCATAGGAGGATATCAAATTACTTAAACAGGCCTTTCCCTCTGTGAACCCATGCTGACTGGGCCCAGTGATTGTGTTGTTCTCTATATGTCTTTTACCCAGTATGATTGTATTTTTTGCCAGGTACTGGGATTAGACTAACAGGTCTGTAGTTTCCTGGGTCTTCCCTCACACCCTTCTTGTAAATTGGAATAATGTTGGCTAGCTTCCAGTCAGCAGAGACCTCTGCAGACTGCCCACACCTTTGGTAGATGATTGAGAGGGGTCTTGCTGTAACATCCACTAGTTTCTTCAATACTCTGAGATGAATCCCATCAGGCCTCATGGTCTTATGAGCACTGAGCTGATGCAATTGGTCTCTAAAAACACTTCCATGTCCACAAATGGAAGATCACTGATCCTGCATTCATGGTCGTCAAACCCAGAGGACAGGGCAACCCAAGGTCTAATACTATTAGACTGAGGCAAAAAAAAGAAAGCACTGAATGTCTCCAGATTTTCTATGCCTATTTTTCAGGTGAACATCTTCAACAAGTATCAGTCCTATGTGTTCTTTGGACCACCTCTTGCTATTAATGTGCCTAAAAAAGATAGCTCACAGTTTCACCTTTCTTCTCCCTCTCTTGCCAAGCCCATTAAAACTAGGCCTGCAGGCTTTGTTGCTTAGATAGTTAAGCATACTCAATAGTCTTAGAATATGCTATATCCAAACATCTACTTAATTAAACCATTAGTCTTAATTAGACTAATTAGTTAATTGCTGTGATTGTAATCTGGGCCATCTGCTGATATTAAGGTACTATTCATGAGTATAGATCTCCATCTGAATTGCACACAGCAGTTTTATTGTTTCCATGAGTTAAAAGAAGGAGCAAAACTGTAGCTGAGCCTACTTGGTGATCTGGATAGAGCCGTGAATCTGGGGCAGGGGCAATAATTTGTCTTTTTGGTGCTGTTCTCAGACTACCTGTGCCAGAAAGAATTGCATATCTCCCAGCCCAGGTCTTCTGCCACAAATACAGCATCATACTCTTAAAAGCAGTACAAAATTCCTGCCCACCCAGAAAAAAAGAGATGGACAGTTAAATCTTCATGCATGGAAGGGATTATTTGAAATAAATTTATGTTCACCTCGAAGTACATTCAATTGGTGGAAGATTACCAAGATAAACTGCATAGCACAAGCTTCAGACTCAATTATTTCAAATAAATGACTATAAATCTTTTATATTTTCTAATGCACTTTGGTACCACAATTGAAGTGTTTGAAAACACCACTCATTGGTTAATAATATATTTCATTGTCTAATGATGTATTTCCATAAAAGCTCCCAAAAATGAAAAGTATTTTCATTTAAGTATTTATTGAAATAAACAGGGAGTTACTCAACGGCACACAGACATTAGATTCCTGGTGATACCAGAAAATGTCTACTTTTGTGCTCTTAATTTAATAGTAGGGTGACTGAATCGTTATTCATCCATCTGATGATTCAAAGCTGAGACATGCTGAAACCATTTAACTAACGATATGATTATTAATTTCTTTAAACCAAAGAACAGCATCTTATATTCACATCTACCAACTTGTGTCACATGTATTAAACTTACTGTTTTCAGGTGAAGCTAACTTTAAGATACAAAATAATTAAAACTTTAACAGTCTGAGTACTTAAACTTACTGATGTGATATTCAACCTTGAGTTCTTGGGCTAAACTTTCGTCTGTATCCACTTTGGTTGGAAAAAAATCCCAAACAAACTTCCATTTTATCCACATACAATATAAAGCAGTGCAAATATAGCACAAGAAGAGAATTCAAGAGCAAAAAGAACTGCAACCTTGGAAAGAGATTTTCCCTGTGAAGAAGTTCTCACTACAAGGTTCTGCCAAAAGGACAATCAGGTTTAGTAATTAATTGACTTACGGTAAGTTTTCTCCACTGTGCAAGTTGTTAGCACGAAGCAGACCGTAGAGAGAGACATGAGTACTGTCTGTTGAGGAGTTCAAGTCGTGCTCTTTACCTTCTCTAATCATTGTTCGTTTAAGCAGACTTGAACACTTCAGTGCCAGCTCCAAGGCATCCATCCAACACCTGCCTAAAGACAAATTCATTACTGGACTAAAAATTAAGGATTTAACTGAACTATACAACTTCCATGTCCTAATTTCACAATCATTTTGGATCTGCTTACATTGCCTTTGAATACACTTCAGAGTTGTTCCATTTTACATGCACTGGGTTTTATAATCTGGTGGGGACATCAAAACAACTCAAAACTACCCCGCTCTGGTAGAAGGGATGCTTCAGAGTAGGATAAGCAAGGTAGCTTATGATTCTGTTAGAGCAGATTCCAGCATTTCTTCCTTAATGCAGATACAGCTCCACTCAGGCCCTGTCTGTTGAAAGTTGCGTGCAGCCCTCCCTAGTTCTGAAGACTAAGTAACTGTATCAATTGGCAAAATTTGCTCATGGAATACAATAACAGTGTGGGAAAGAAGCTATAATGATAGCATATAAATGCCATTTCATTTTTTCAAAAAGTAACTGAACAGATTTATGTGTTTTTCCACTCTGTATTTCTTCACTTCCATGTATCTGATAGATTTTTCAATACAAAAGCAAGTAGAGTCCTATTTTTAAAGTCTGCAGAGGTATGCTTAATTAACCAGTAGAAGGAAAGCAGCTACTAGACAGGTTACACAACAGCCCCAAATTTTGCTTCCAAATTGTAACCTTTGAAGATACCTGCACCGATACTGATCACCACTGTCAAGAGTGATGGTGTCACAAAACTGTATTTTAAAGGAATTACTACTAGAACTGTTTAATTGCTGCATTTAATAATACACAAATGCTTTCATCAGAAAGCAAGTATGTTCACATTAGTACTTTACACAGGTACTAGCTTGAGTATTTAGATGTACAGTAATACAGTTAAATCTGAAATAAGCCCTTTCCCCTCCTCTACCCAGCCAACACAAAGCAATTGCAAGGAGTTCAGTGACAATTTCTTCAAGTCAAATTTTCCTTTGACAACCATGAAAAACTACTAGTACCAACACAACTGAAGGCACTAAGTTAAGGGAGAACCTTAACAATGATTAAACTGCAGTCACAGTGCTGCAACAGACCTGGTAAGCCAACTGAAGCCACCTCTTTCTAATAACTAACTGCTGCCACTGTGGAAAACCACTGAAATAAATATTTACCATCTGATTCTGAGGCGGCTCGGATGATCAAATAACTGCTGGGCAACGGCTGAGTTATAGAACCAACAGCTTCACCTTTGGGACCCTTGAAACAAGAAAACAAGCAACAGCATCAGATGTTTTAATTCAGTTTTAAGGTTTATCATTCCATGTAATAACAAGCTGACACACTGCAGGGCTATTTACTGTCACTCAGCAACATCTAATGAAGACATGAATGGAAAGATGGACAGCCCTCTTTTACTGGATTTTTTCTTCAAAGACTTGATTCGAAGTGCAGCTCCCAATTCAACCCTACTTTAAAAAGGTCTTTGGGATTCAAATAATTTTGGTGGGTTTTTTTTTGTAAAACCAACTTGGCATAGTAACTTGGAAATGCTCTGCTGATGCTACTTATAGCAAGATGACAAAAGCATCAAAAGTAACACCATAGGGAAGTCACCCTCACTTCCCAGGGACCCCTGCAGATGGATGTAGAGAGCTCACAAGGGACAAGCTATTCTTCACCAGCAAGCAGAACAAGACATGTTTGTGGGGTGGTTTAAGAAAGTTGATTTACAACAAATGCCGCCAGTAGAAGATGCCGCATTTGTACAGTAACTGGTTCTTTTCTATCCAGTCACATTTGTTCCTGATGAGAGCAAAGGTTCCTCTCGATTCCTACAAGGATGCTATGGATCATAGCACAGAGACACATGAAGGTAAGCCAAACTCTTGCAGAGAACAGGAGGCCTGCTTCAGTGACCCAGTCTGTGCTTACTTTATATGTCAATGTTTGGTGTCTCAGCACCATCCTGTGCGGCAGTACTGCACAATTTCTGCCTGTCTTCAGAAGACAGACAAGTTAATTGGTATTTACATAAAACAGAAGTAGCTTCTCCCACCCAAACACTACGTATTGCTATAGAAACCCGCTCACCCTTTCTTCCTCCCTTTTTCCCCTTCAACCTCACTCCTATACGGTAGTCAATTCCACAACATATTCAGGTGCCTAACTTTAGGCTTGGCATTTTAATAGGAAAAAAACCCAAGATGATGCCCAAGTCCATAAAAGTAATTCAGATACTTAAGTCTCTCTATAAAGGGTATCAGCAGGACACCATGACATTATGTTCAATGACACACAGAGGATGTCAAATGACAAAATTTAATTTTCACTGTGAAGTTCTTCACTTACCAAATAAAAAAAATAAATCCCAAAGACCTTTCCATTTCCATCAAACTTCATTCTGGAATAAAATGCTAACCCCACTGTTTAAAAGCCCTTTCAAAAATAGTTTACAAATGGTAACTAAGACAACTGATAGGCAAAGAGGGCTGTATTAAACATACTTGAAGCTATTGTTGAAAAGCTGGGTTAAGCCTTCCTAACTGGTGTGTTAACATATTTTGGTCTTCATTGATTTGCCCCCAGAGAAGCCTAATGAAAAGCCAGTATCAAGGCTTAAAAGAGGGAATCGGAAAGCCAGCAGAAGTTTTGAGCAAAAGCAAATAAAGGCAGGTATTTTAGAAGCAAGCAAATGAAACAGCCAGAACATTTCTGAGGGTGAGAGGTGGGTAACAAGGAGTCTTGGTGGCACTTAAATACCAATACAGGCAAACTAGTGCTGGTATAAATGATGTTCAGAAACTTCTAAATAGTCAGTAAGGAGTAACAGCAACTAGGGTGTTAGGATCAAGATTCCAAACCTCAGTCCCCCTCTGAGGAAGTGGAAAGATGCACCTACAAAAAATGTCTGGAGAAGCTGCAACACAGGATTAGGAGTGAGCAGCTAACAAGAACCAGGAGGGACCACTCCATGCATGAGCACTCCTCACCCTGAGGGCCAGCAGGCAGGGAAGAGGTCTCACTCCCTACAGGTCCCTGTGGAAATGTGAGCACCACAGCGCAGAGCAGTGCCAAGCAGGGGTGGGGAGGTGCTGGGCGTTGCATGGAGAGGACCATGGGTGCATCAGCGCTGTGTGAAGGGCTTGACCATCACCAGTCCTCGGAACAGTCAGGTCACAGAACACGGACTAAGGGCAGACCTCTGCCTGCAGGACCTGCCCTTCAGGATTATAATGCTGCCATGCAGGGTACACTACTCTGTACCAGATTACTATAATTGAAGAGAGGAAGTGTGGCTTTGGTGTTTGTTTTGTTTCAGTGCAAGAAAGCTATATTCCCCTACGTGTTTTGACAATGCCTTGATTAAAACTGAATGAATAATTTGTAGTGAACATTTCAGTAGGTTGACTTATTTTTGATTAACTGCTTGTGGATCTTGAGTTCCTCTACTTGATTACTGTTGTAAAAGCACTGGACATTTTGTTTGGTATCACCCATTGTAGTTTCAAAATCCGTTTTTGGTATGTTAGTGTTCTGTAGAAGACAGACCATTAGCTTCCATTTGTTAGGTGATTGCATTTGAACTGTTTGTTCCTGACAGAAAGATGGGTACAGCTACACCAATACAAGGTAACGGGCATGTTAAAAATTCCACTAGATTGGAAAAAACCCCAACTTTAAAATTTACTTCCTACACAATATTCATGCCAATAAAACTCAAAAGCCACGAACATTCAGAGAAAGCAATAAAAGCTGGTAAGCAATCACACTTGACTAAATTTACTCGTAAGAAATTATTTGCAGTAGTTTTTCTACTTATAAATTTTAGAAAACTGAAATGTCATCAGGACCAAGCAAGTGAAGAAGACAGAACAAGGTACAGTGCATCAGCTACCTCAGAGTGCAGGTGGAACATCAAAGACCACAGCAACAGGATTAAGGGAGCATGTGAAGAGACTGGCCACGAACTACTGCAGAAGAGAATTTGCAGATTCTGGCAATCTGCCAGAAGAACACACTCTGGGAGGTGCGTTCAAGTGAGAAAATCTTCTGCAGTAGTTAGACCTGTGTGAATGTTTCTTGCCATGTCTTCTTCCTATACTGACTGCAAATGAGGCTCATTTTGCCTAAGGCTTCAGGCTTGTTCTGGTAAATCTACTCTATAAATCAGTCAATTACTATTACGCTTATGAAAGTTTGCCTCATGATACTAGATCTGTAGCTAGGACATTATAATTGAGTAAGTAAACAAGGCACAAAAAGGTTTCAAACTTCAAGGCCTTTCATCTAATTAAACCCAGTAATTCTCAACTGCAAATAGCCATACCAAAATGAACAAACGCCACTCCAGCTCTCAGCACATTTAGAATGGACAAAACCAACTTGTTCAGGTTCAAAATTCGACCTACCTTAAAAAAGTAAAAATCTGGTGGGGCATGTCCTCTAAATTCTAAATATCTAGTTAAAAAAACAAACAAATCCATTTTCTCATTGCCAAGCAATAAAGAAATATAAGACTGATTTGTGATCTTCTGCAGACAGGCCACCACTTTGCAATGCATGTATACTTGATCATAAATAATTAAAGCACATTAACACCAAACTCTATCACTTTGGAAAAGGATATGAATTTTATGTTCTGAAAATGTAAGATCACCACTAATGAGTGAAAAGTCCTTCTAAGCTATGTTAAATCATTCAAAAACAACTACAAAATATTTGATCTAAGCCTGGTAAATTTAGGTAACATTAATAATGATAACAATTTAGAAAGATCAAAACAAACTTCAGGATTTATACTAGCTGACTTCCCAGTCTGAGATAAGAAAGGCAAAAACAATGCAGCACATTCTACAGATGTGACCGTACATCTATATCAATTTAAGATTCAGAAAATACAATCTCACAATTAATAGCTATCTTAAGATATACATTGCAGAGGGCATCATAATTTATTACAAGGGGCCTAATAGTGTACTGTAATTTCATCTAAAGCGAGATGGCAATTTTGGAGGTTAAGTATGTCCACTTGTGCTGTACTTCCACACCCCTTCTCCATATGAAAACAGGAAGCACGGACTACAATGGCTTGTTTACTAGAGTATAAACAATGAGTAAGAGCAAACATTAAAGATTCTTAGGAGAAACTGAAATAAACCTTTCCTATGCAGAACACACTGTGGTTTTCAACACTTACAGATAAGATCTGCTCACAGTACTATGCCATGTATGACAAAGCAAACAGACATCAGAACTGAAAACATTTATCTGCCTAAAATTGTGACCGAAAGGGAAGCAAGCTGCAATATAAACTACTATTGCACAAGGAAGTTATTTGAATTTCTACTTTTACAAGCAAATTGAACTGAAGCTGACATTTTATTACATGAATATATAGCACTAGAAACAAAAAAGGTTTGTAACACATTTAAACTCTCATTTTGGCAAATCACTTCCCTCCTTAATTTCTCAGATTCAACTGATGTAAAATACGATGTTATACACTTATCCTTCTGCTTACATAGTTACCACTGATGGCATTAACCTCTTCAATGGCATCCTTCTGCACACCACATTTCAGAAGCTATTTAAGTATACAGAGCAGCATAAATCAAATAATCTGTGATGAAAAGGACTAGATATTGAAGGCTTGTATTCAGAATAAACAAACCATTAAAGTTATAAGAGCAAATGCAGTTCAGCTTTTCATTAAGATTGTCTTTACTGACTGCTGTCTAATGCTAGTCATCTGATAAAAAACATATATACTACCACTAACCTTTATAGCCCATATGGACTGCTCCAAAGGATGAAAAAGTTTGAAACAAAAGCCATCTTTTTTAGAAGGCCTCTCAATGAGTTCACAAGCGTTCAGGAGCACTGTTCCCACCCACTGGCCATTTTTGGGGGTTTTGTAAACAAGCAACACTCCTGGTTTCAGTACACACCACAGTTTGGTCCAGCTTTTCAAGGTACCACGAATCTAGAAGATAAACAGTTACAGTTATATCACTGAAACATATACCAAAACCATCCATCTTCACTAAATGAAAATCTTAACTGAAATTATTTATTAGCTTTTATTTCAAACCAAGTATATCAGGCCTATTAAAAGCTTATCTGGGTTTATCGAAGACAATACAAAAGCACAATTTCAGTCCTCACTCTTCTTTCTCGATTAATATTTAGTCTACAAACGGGTTTACACACATCCATGTATGGGAAGAATGACAATTCAACTGAAATCTTCATGAATTATCTGGAACATAATCTATCACTAGCATAAAGACAGGATAATCTTTGGAAATAGAGTTCCTCTGAAAATAAGGCAGATGTCTGATTAGAAAAATAAGATGTTCAGAAAGTAACTCAGATATATTTGAATATATTAGATAAAACATAACAGCTGTAAATTTCAACCCATACTTGAAATACAAGATCCTTTCAAGTCCGTGAATCTGCATGTCTAATTAGATGGCTTGCATCAATTCTGCCAACTCCAGATTTCAATCGATTCTATGTCTGTAAGAGTGAATGTCAACTTGACGTCTGAGCAATGTTCTAGCCTGTTTACACTGATTTTTGCAAAAAACAGACAAACTTTTTGCAGACAAGCAACAGTTTGGAGCTAACTAAAAAAATGGGTAACAGAGCTTTTTTTTCTTACAGAATTTCCAAGGAATAAATTTACAAACTTAAGGAATTATATACCAATATATAAACTACACAACTGTTGCTGACACTGACTGCTATCTTTGAGAAATTAATTCTTCACCTTTTATACCAGTATTACAGGACAGTTAGTTCTTAAGAAAAGAATTATCAGAAATAAACAAGAAATCTGCATTCAAATATGTGACTGAAATATTTTCACTACTGTTTCAGAGATAAATAGAGCTTCTATTGAAAGTGTACAATAAAAGGACAAAGTAAGAACAGTAAAACCAATTCATCTGAAGTTAATGGCTACACACACAAGATATACATTACTATTGTGACTTCAGTAAATGGGAGCTAGGTACTTTTATTATTCCCCTAGGATCTGAGCACAGAGACCCTGGGATGCAATTAGTGGCTGCTGTACTTGTAGAAAAACATTAACAGCAAGTAAAAGACTGAGCCTTTTCTATTCTGCTCAGAAAGCAGCAAGCAGCTACTACGTCTTCCCCTCAGATTTCACACTTCGATTCTGACCTTCAACCAGTCAGCCATAACAATAACTGATGGGTCTGTGATAGTGCTAAGTAATTCTTTTGTAGCTCTCTTCTTTTCTTCTCTGTAATTTTTCTTTTGAACCTGTAAATAATAAGAGAAAGATTTACAATGCCACAGCCGTAAGCCAGTAATCAGAGCACAGAAAGGCACTGACCAATACAAGCTGAGGAAAAACCTGCTAAGTTCAATTGGCAATACAAATAAGGAGCTTTAAAACACAGTATTTGACTTCAAGGTGCAAACTATTTCATGCTCTGTTTCAAGAACAGCTAAGATGCAACCAATTTCAGATTCTTCTGCCATTTTCTTTTAATATTGAGGACTTTGAAACTCCTGATAGAATCAAGCAAACCAGTTCTACCCCCCTTCCTTTCCTGGTGTAAAGTACAAAACCACATTTGGGCTACATTCAAATTTAGAGGTACGTTATCTGATCAGCAGTCTTTACCTGCCCTTTACTTTCCCTCCCCAGTAGGAATTTGCAGCACTATACCTCACTCTTTCAGAGACAACTAACTTTAAGTTTACCCTGACTTGGTATCCACCAAACAAAAGTGTTTGGTCTTGTTACAACACAGGGAGAAGGCGGCAGTAGAAAAACCATAGGTTCTGCATGCAAATTATACGTTTGATAATTCAATTTGTTATTTCATTGCATGCAGATGTGCATTTATAGTCCATGAGGAGTTACGTGGAAATTAGTTCACCTTGAGAGATTCCTTTTTTGTAAGTTTGCTTGCAGATAAAGAGATGTCCTTCTCGGAGCCATTGAAAAGCTTGGATTCAGACTGAAATTCACAAAATTCATAATAAATAAGTAACAATAACAGATACAACGTTGTATTACTGTTGCAGGTACTTTAGAAAGTGTTTGCAGTGCACAGTTATGTTTGTAAGGTTCCCACTCCCATTTGCTCCTCTACTGCTTCTCCTACTTAAAAAGAACAACAAACCCAAAACTCAAAAAGCCACAACTCCTAACATGAGTTGTTCACCACCTATTTATGGAGTCTTTTTGTTATATGGTCTTTATGGGAAGGAAGTCTGAGATTCCTCCAGAAGTCGAACTATATGCAGTAAATATTTAGCACATATAGCCTGTTACTCATTATGCCAGTCTTGACTAGTTAAGAACTTCTTTAGCAGAGAGATAAGGTTTTAGGAGAATCCTGGTGTTTAAACACAGGAGTTGCTCCCATGCCATACAAATCCCAATGTCTTCATTCAAAACTTGACAGCTCCTCCAAATGGATTGCTATACAGGAACTTACCCTGTGAGCCATGAAGGAAAATACAGCCTCTTCAATCTAGGATTCAGTGCTCTATAAATCATCAGAGTACAACTGACCACTAACAGCACTCATTCTGCTCCTTCCTCCCTAATCCCATGTTCCAATTACTTCACAAGCCACCTTCAAGAAGCTCGCAGTGGTGATAAGACAGGGGAATGAGACTCAGGTTTGCTCATGAAACCCAAGTCCTCATTACCCTTGTTCACAGCAGGACAATATGCTGCCTCAGCACCACATGATTTCCCCTTCCTGCCTCTACCCACATCTTGTAAGGTTCAAAGTTTGTTCCTTGGCATTTGCTGCCTACTAGTTGAAAGGGAACTAGAACCACCAAATATTCACCATGGGATACAGAGCTCATAAAAATGAAAAAAAAAAGAGGAGCCTATGCCAGAGTTATCACATCATTCCTCCTGCAAGTCAGAGGACACCAAGTAGGTATCCACTATAGGTACTTTAGCTAAATTAAGAGTTACATTTCTTTGTGCACTGAAATATAAGCCTGATAGACTCCAAGCTCCTGCCTAGTCAAAAATAAAGAAAAAAGAAAAATCAGAGGAACCTTCTGAACTGTGAAAACTCAAGCAGTTTATGAAAACTACTTCTCAAGCTGTTCAACATTTCTGACTAGTAATTTCAAATCTCAGACCACAATGCAAAGTCTAGACATCAAATTTCTGGTTTGGAATACTATAAAATGATGGTCAAAAATATGCAAGTTTTGAGAAAACTTACTGCAATAAATATTAACAGTGTACTTGAGCACTCTTCTTAATACACAAGTTGCTCAACCTAGTTACTTAAAATAACTAGTGTCAAAAAGATGTTCAATAACTGGCAAAAATAATTTTATCTCAAAATTATTTCAGTGATAAGGAAATGTTCTCTAATTTCCATATACATCTTGGAAAAAATGAAGGACACCTCTTCATTTTATATTAAAGACATATTCTTAACACTCAAAATGTAGCTTTAAGACAAGCATACAACTTGAAATTTAATTCCTCTCTCTAGAAGCTAAAGGAAATACAGTACTTCAAATGTAATAACAGAAGAGGGAAAAATGCTTATCACTGTCACATAAGAAGAGGTAATGAACTCGTTATGCAAGCTATAATGGAGCAACTTAAGGAAAACATTCATAAATATTCAAGTTGCTCACTAACAGAAAGCTAATGCAATCTAAAGGTCATGCGTATAAAAGCCCCAAACCAGTAAGTATCACAGGTTACAGAAGCCGTTTCCTCAGTATCTCAGTTTTAAAGCTCACTAATGGCACTGAGTAAGGGTCCGTATTTACCTGTTCAATGGATTACAAGCAAGATTAGCAACTCGTATTTTTAAGCTAGTAACTTTCTCAGAGTTACACCCACACAAAGTGGGTGGGATCAAAACTTAAGAAAGCATTTTAAAGAACCTACTGTAGCTTTCAGCAAGGTACATTCAGTACCAGATTCTGGGCAAGTTTCATGCTTGCTTTTCCATCCTTACTTAGAAAGAAAGGCTACTATTTCACCTCAGCTCTGACAGACAGTTGCCATCTTCTGTTAGCCTGAAGTTTATTTGTGGGTTATAAAAGAAATACCACTCTTATTAAGCCCCATATGCAGTAATTGCAAAAATAACATAAGGAAAAATATGTATTAGAAGTAGTAGGAATATTGGTCTTATCTTTGATAGCAGAAAGACACAAACAAAAGTAACAGTAAAACACACAGAGATCCTGGAAAGACAAGACCCAAGCAAAATAAGCACATGAAAAAAAACCCAAACTGTATAGTCAAAGATAAATGATTAATAGAGTCTGAAATAAATCCAAGTTAAAAGAAACAGTATTAACTTGAGTTGTAAGTCAAAAATTATTTAGAGGTTTCTGGACCAACACAAATGTTTTGATTAGAAGACTTAAATGTTTTGAATTAGAAAGCATGACTTAGACTAGATGTCCCTTGTCCAGCTGGATCCTGAAAGTATCCAATGTTGGAGAATCCACCACTTCCCTAGGGACATTATTTCCAACGGCTGGTTGTTCTCATTGTGAAAACTGGAATTTCCCTAGGAGTAACTGGAATAGACTGCCCAGGGAGGTTGTGAATGCTCCATCCCTGGCAGTGTTCAAGTCCAGGCTGGACAAGGCCTTGGGTGACAATGGTTTAGTGTGAGGTGTCCCTGCGCATGGCAGGTCGGTTGGAACTAGATGATCTTAAGGTCCTTTCCAACCCTAACTATTCTATGATTCTATCACACTTCCTCTTTTCCATAAGACTCCACGTAAAAAAAGTCTCCATCTTCTTTGTAGCCACCCTTTAAATACTGGAAAAAATACTGCTTCCTTGACCTCCCTGACAAGTGAGGGTCTAAGCTGCAGTAAAGCTGAAAATGCAAAGCTCTGTGATTCCAAGTCATGTGTAAGATACCAACAGCTTGAAATGCTTAGCTACACACTACTAAATTGCAGCATAAGCTGCAGAAACTAACCTGCTCATCCTAGTGCAATTTTGATAATACCATTTAACCAGGGAAATGCTACCGTAATCCTTAAATAGCTTTGATTTCCTTTGGTATCTCGCTAACGTTTCTCCTTAATGCTCTGACACATGAAATATCAGACAACTTTGTGTCAAGACCTTTAAGTGCAGTCCCTCTGTCTCCCAGGGCTGCAGCTGCCTGTGCCCAGATCCAGCCCTGACAGACTGCAGTGCTAACCTTGCAGCAGAGCACCATGGAAAGAGCTGTGCGTGGAAGCAGCGAGAAGCAGGCTCCTTCCCCTTGGGTGCTAGCTGCAGTCAAGCTCAGGTCCTTGCCTTGCCCTGCCGAGCAGTCCCTGTCTGTTGTTTAAGTGTCTGTTACCCCATTTGCCTCTGTGAAAACCAGTGGACATCCTAGCAGAAAATAGCAGACCACACAGCTGGTTAATTTAAAGCCTTGAAACTCTATCCTGCAGTGATGCCTAAGTAAGAAAAACAAGTGAATTTAGCTACTCCATTCAGAAATCAAACCATACACAACCTCCCCGTTTGAAAAATGCAGTCTTCCCTCATCACTTTAATCTGAAGTCTTAAAGAGACACCCATTTTATGGGGCACCCAACTGAAAACATTATTTTTTCTAGAATTACACATTCTAAATATGTAAAAATCACTGGATAAAACTTCGGTGCATTAACATGCCAGGCACTTTTGCTGACCAGAATGTTCATGCAATAGGCCAACAAATAAAGAAGGTTGTATCAGAGTGGCCTATAAAATAGCCTAAAACTGACAGTTTCTATAATTTTAAGTTACAAATTTATATGGATTTGGGAAAGGAAAAGATAGCTATGGTAGATTTTTCTCTACACTACTACAGTGACTTGTTACACAACTCTCTCATCATGTGCCTACTTTATTCTGAGTAAGAATGCTACTGCAAACTACTTGAGTAAGTAATTGTGATGAGAACAAAACTCAGCTCTGGAGAGAAAAGACTACTGCATAAAAAGGGACTTTCTGGTTTCTTGGGTAGCTCATGTTTTCTGCCTTTTTAGTCATTCCAAGATACTATGGTTTTCGTGACTGTGGTGTCCATGTCCCAGCTCCACTTTGGATGTTCTCAGTTTTCACTGCATCTCAGTGAGCCTTTTCCAATTTGGGACTACACAATGAAGATTATGAATTTGCTTGACTCCTGCCTTTTCCATTTCCATCATCAAGAGTACCAGGAAAGATAAATATGCATAGCAATTATACCTACTTTAATATTCTACTGAGCCAGCTTTCTGTTGCACGCTCATTGTCTCAATGAAATGAGCCTTTGTAATTAAATTCTGAGGTACAGAAGCCATTGCAGCAGACAGGGCAACAAATTACACTTAATTATGTTTTACTCTGGCAATTTAACCCATTAAAAGAAACCTTTTCCAATTACAGTTTCCCTAACATTCCTATGAGAAGATTTTCTACAGCCCAGTGAACAGTATCTTCACCTACAGCTTAAAAGGATTCTAAATTACGTTGCATACCGAGTTGGCTTCCATCCATTGTTACATTTGGCAAGGCAACATCCCCCTTCCCAAGACAACAGTGAAGACTCTGCATTTCATTTTCACTGATTTGAACTGCAGATTTTAATGTGATGTCATCCTGACAACTGTATTAAGAAATTCCCTTTATCTATTGCTGAATCTGAAGAGTAATCTTCAAGATTATCTACAACAGAAGTTTGATAATTTGCATTTAAACTCCTTTATACACTGACATTTTTAAGCCAGATTACTTTCCTTACCTTGCTTTTTGACATAGAATGTGACGTATCCTCTTTACTTTGTGACACATCATCCTTCCCTTTGTCAAAACCTGAAAAGACAGCAGTGTTGCAAATTATTTGAAAACATCAACTTGATGGCATCAACATGAGCTAACCTTTGACAGAAATTTGCAAATTGTGTTTAGCATTAAAAAGTGCAAGCAGATTGGATTTTCAAACAAAGTATATGTACCAGGCCCTCACATTAGTTGAAAACATATCAACTACTATAATATAAACTAACTTTATACCCACCAAGAGGTAAGAACAGTCCGCTGCATTTGGGTGGCACGGCAAACCATCCAATAACGTGATGAACTGTAAATACAGTGTGCAAAGTTTTGTCCTTTTATCTTCTCTTATAGCAGAATACCAAATTGAGCCTTTTTTTGGTTCGTTCATTTCTGTAGCTAGGAGTAATTGTTAAACACCATCTACATGAAAGCAAATCTAAAACACTGATTAGGATTGCCAGTCAGTTTTTTTGCAGTGGGGAAAAGGTTGATTGCATTAGCCTTGAATTTATACCTTTAGCTTGACACTGCATAAGTATGTCAAGGCTTTATATTAAAACAGTTGTTGAAATCCCATTTATGTTCTGCCAGCGACTCACGGTACAGACCCCGCATTTTCCCAGTAGCCAAAAAACAAGTTAGACAATGGGTGTATCCAGTATATGTTTGACAATAGACAAGGGGGTTACCCTTTTCATACATGCCACATAACATATACTGAGAACCTAGCATCCTCTTAAGGAGGATACATCTCAGTGATCCATTTACTTTGAAGCAGTTGGTGGTAGCATAAAGCTTTTGACAGGAATAAACCAAACTGTGCAGCACATTTATCTGGATAAGTAAAAATGCCATCACTTCCACATCCTCCAGATGCAAGGCTGATAAATATGAAATCACACATTAATTTCAGGAATAATCCTTGCAGTTGCAAAGCCTTGCATGGCTCTGGCAGTGGCACCCTAGACCTTTAGCCCACGAGAGGGCACCGCACCAGCAAACTGCATGAACGGACACCTAAAGCTCTTCTGAGCTTCCCTTGAAGATGCTCCGAACTTTGAAATAGAAATTGGTTACTCAGATCTCTAAAATAAGAAGATTTATCAGACAAACAGTTCGATTTTCCATTTTTAGGGGACTTTTGTCTATGTGTGGGGAAACCATGAGCTTTAAGAGAATTTTTATTAACTCTGTAGCAGTGTTGAGTAGCTTGTTCAGTGCAGGATTTGCTTTTTACATTGGCATTTCCACCTTTCCACAATTTACAATACCCAGAAACTGCAACAAAGAACAGATTTATCTATCACAAATACATGCGTTGGGAAGTATCACTGAGTTAGAGACATTAAGTTGGTCTTCAGGTTCCATGAGAAATCAGATTCCTCTTAGTTTTAGTCTGTTACTCAGCCTTTTGCAGTTTTTGTTTGTTTGTTTCTATTTATTTATTACTACTTGCAGAAATTCTTTTGTAAGACAAGTTTTATTTTGAATTATATTCTGCAGTATAATGATATTTCATTTTATGTTTACAAAAAGTAAACCCTTTAAAGAAGCCTTTACATGTCTTTATGGAAGCCCCTCTGTGCACAGACCATTAACCCCTTTCTACTGAAACTCTTACAACACATCAGTGGTAAGTTTGTTCAGCTAATGAATTTTAATGCAGAAGACTACTTGACCACAGGGAAGAAGTACTTAGACAGGCATTAGATTTGTAGTACTAGGGAATCCAGAAAAATCCCAAAGGCATGTTGTGATCCAGAGACCAGAAGCCACATTTCCTATTTAATACCAAATCCAAAAGCACATTTTCTATAGCACTGGTCATTAGGTGCTATAACACCTCCAGCCTTAGAGGACAGACCTGCCTTAGTTAATTGAGAAGTTACTAGATTCAATGCCAGTCTTAGGCAGTCACACACCAAAACCATAGTACTGAGGTCCTGTCCTTACCCCCATACCCAAAAGAAATCCCTCATTAGGAACCAAATTCCACTGAAAATGTAATGCAAGTGTTTTTTAACAGCTTTCGCACTTTTACTTAATTATTTATAGGCACATACAGAAGATTTAGTGATGGGAATCAACGAGGAAGTGCTAAGTCAGGATTGTTCCTACAGAAGATAAGCTATAATTCACAGCTTGCTTTCTAAAGCACAACAGCTTCATGGGATTTACATATCCTTACTTAACAAACATATGCTTTTATTTTCATAAACAAGCTTTTCACTGGTATCACCAAACAGAAATGATAACAGAAAGAACTACTCTGTCCCAGCGAATGAGACACAAAGTTCAGTTGTGTTTCCATGAATTTAACCTCCCTGCTTCCAGTGTCCTGAACCTGACGTGTGCATGCTCACTGATTCATAAACATGCTGCCACACTCACTGTTCCCTTCCTTATTGACACACAGAGCAATGGGCTGCCTGAGGGGTTTGCTAGAGAGCCCAAGGCAGGGTGCTGCAGATCCTGGAACATCTTGCGCTGCTCTGTCTTGGTCCATGAGGAAACTCAACCCATCATTCTCGCATCCCACACCATCCTACTTGTAACCCCCCCTCTCTGTAGAAGTCATAATAAGCTCACTCAGAACACTGACAGGCTTTTTTCCCCTATGTGCTAAAATGTATAAAACATACGGCTTTGAACTGAAAGAGGACAGATTTAGATTAGACACTAAGAAGTTCTTTGCTGTGAGAGATGTGAGGCACTGGCACAGGTTGCCCAGAGAAACTGTGGCTGCCCCATCCTGTGTTCAAGGCCAGGTTGGACAGGGCTTGTGGAAAATGGAAGGTATAGGGGAGGTAGAATTATATGATCTTTAAGGTCTTTTCCAACACAATTAATTCTAGGATTTTATGTAAAACACCGTAATTCAGGTGCAGATCCTGACACAGCCTCACCTACTGTAAGGACACTTTCTCCACGGAGCCTCTGTTGGAAAGACCTCAGTACTATAAGAACTCTTACTTCTAGTAAGAACAGTTTCATACTAATACCTACAGGGAAATCTGTACTGAAACATCACAAAAAGCCCATGGGCCCAAGCTGAGGATGATACACGCTTTGCCATGGAAATACTTGCTCAAAGAAACAACAGAACAATTATATTCAGAGAATCAACAATAAGAAATACTGTTTTCTCCCTTCCTGCTACCAGTTATGAAGAGCAAATCACTTAATGGATTTCTGACAAAGGCAACCACAAAGCCAAGAAAGCTGAGCCTCTAAATGATGCTCTTTGTTATTGCCCTTTTTGTAATTTTGTTCATCCCAGAGGGACTGAAAATTACACCACAAGAAGTCACTAAATCAGTGTCTGGAGCAGAGACTGCCAGGATGTAAGAGGCTAGAGGCAAGATCTAATGAAAATGAATGTTTCAAGTTTTTCCAACATCTTTCAGCAGTGGTTTTGGGCTTAATATTTTAGCTTACTTGCTGTTTCCCATCCTGTAATTCAATCTTTAACCTCTTTAACAAGATAACCTGAGCTCACATTTCACAATGTAGAAATTCAGGTGTTGAAGACACAGTCCTTTTCTGTAACTTGTATTAAATCTCTTGAACCCATGTATCATTTTCTACCTAAAACCCTTAAAGCAATCTTCAAAGTCAGAGAGGGCAAGCGATGGCTGAATCAACATTCAGAGCTGCAGACTGAGCTCCTAGCATTATTTAAGACATATGCAGATTTGAAAAATGATACTTTCATTTTAAATGCAATCTCCACTTAAATGCTGTAGCCTCTAAAGCAGCTCTGGACATCAGGGACTGTGTTCAGAGCAGCACTATGTCTTAGCAGACTTTCTCCCACTGTGACCTTCCTTGTCTTTAACATCACAGGCCCCGGGGGCCTCTGAAAGCTGATCCCAACCCCAGCGCAGTCAGCCACAGTTCATGGTGTAACCTTAGAAGCCAAGGGGAACTGTCCTGAGTACACGTTCCTACTGTGAGCACTCAGCAAGTCCTTCCCAAACTGGCAGGTAGAAATCTACATAAGAACTCATGATAAGCTTTCAGATAGTCCAGAACTCTATACACTCAAGATGTCCATGAAATAAAATCAAACAGTGCTTCTTTAGAGACTGAGGTGGAATACACAGTCAATACCAAAGGAAAAAAATCCTCCAAAATGTCATTTCTGACAAAAAATGAGGAGTATATACATTGTAAGATCAGTGTTCAAGGATCTTTAGGATAAGTCTGTGGTAGGGTACATTTTAAAACAAAACTGTTATGAGATTTCAATTTTGAAGTGTAACACAGGTATCATACCTTAGTCACACCTACAATCTGTCCCTTTAATCAATTCTGACCAAGGGAAAAACCCCAAACCAACCACATAACTCTGCCTGCATCTCAAATGCTGATTCTGTACCTCTCAAATACCACCTGCAATTGGAATAGCTGAGAAAAAACATCAGAAAATCACATTACTTTTAACGTAAGATCTCTTTTACCTAAAAGGAAAGAACTGCTATCCACTGGAGGCTTTTTTCTAACAAACAGAAGCAGCAGTAAAAAGGTTATGCAATGCATGAGAAGACCACAAACAGCAAGCCAAGCAACAATAATCGTGACTGCCAATGAAGAGCAAGGAACAGCCCAGTTTGATTACTGATGTGCTGCATGAGCAGTTGTGAAGAACTAGTAATTGAGCTGAAAAGCTGTATGCTTCTGGAGGAACTATGAGTTATACTTAATGGGAGATACCAGTACTGGTGTCATATAGTAAACACAACAGGGGAGAGAAAGGAAAAATCTTTACAAAGAATTGAAGGCAGGAGACAACAGTTTAACTGACCAAATTTCGAAAGCTTGCTAACCACCAGTTTTAAGAATACAATCCCACATGAAATAATCCAGATTCCTCCATGGATTTTGAAACTGGTTTAATCAGAAAAGTCCTTTAATATGTTTTCTCACAGTATTTTGCAAGCACCATCTAAAATAAACAATAACAGCCAAAGCTTGTCCTCCCTTTAAGTATACATGACTATTTTTTAAACGGGCAGTAACTACTCTTTGCTTAAACAAAACTGAAAGAATGTATCTTCCAGCACATTAAGGTTGTTTAAATTCTTTGGATAAATGGAAGATCCCAAAAGATAAAACTTTTTTACTTATATTTTAAACCTTGGTTTTTTTTTTATTTATTAAAAACTGTTTTCCTTTTGTTCTGCCTTTTAAGAAGTCACTCATTGTCCACTTACGGAGAGTAGCGAGCCATTCTGTACAGGAAGGAAGCAAATAGGAAACAAATCCCTTTTTGTCTCAGTAATTACCAGACTACATGCATTTACTTTAAAGGTAGGAAGGATCTGTCTAGTTGCCAACACCACACTGTCAAGCTTTGAGATCTTTATTTCCTGAACAGCTTGAATAAAGCTCAAGTGCTAAGACTCTTGATAGAAGGCTAATAATTGCCAGCAGCAGAGTGAAAAGAAATATTACAGGGTAAACCATCAAGCTGAATAGAACATGGTGTCCCAACAACTGCCCTCACCTGCCTGCTGCTCCAATGATTCTGCAAGCCAGTGATGCTGAGAGCTCCCTCATTGCCAGCCAGCAACCTCCCCTATGCACCCTATAACTTTTTTCCATGGCTACAGAGCCAAGGCTTACAAATTCAGTGAGCTGCCCTGCAGAAGGCATACAATAAAAAGAACTATTTTATCACAGCCCCCCACCCCTGCCCCCCACCAGCAGTCTGTCCCCATGGGACTATGCCACATGCACAAGACAAGTCACACACACAGAGTAATTCTGGTAAGAATGTACTATTGCTACAATGTCCCCTTTTCAGGAAGAGGTGACCTTGTAACATGTTTCCGAGCATCAAATTCGCTAGGAGTAAACTGTTGAAATTCAGTACCTATATCAAAAATGCACATCATGGACAATGAAACTCCAGAAATCCATTTCAATATTCCAGCACTCATTTTAAGCAAACAACAAATCTGAGCAAAAAGAGATTTAAGCCCTTCCTGTGTTAAATGTCTTAAAAATCTTGCACTGCAGTGTTTAGCAAAGCTATGCTTTTAGTCCTAAAATAACCCGTGTTATTTTTTTCAAACCACTGATGACAAGCATATAGATTCTTCAGTACTTACAGCTAAATTAAAACCTTCTGCTGTATCTTACTATTTTAAAGCATGTCCATTGCATGTGGGAGGAGTGTTAAGTACAAGGGAGGAAGGCATTTATAAACCACATCATAGAACTTCAGTCATAAAAGCCCAAACAACCAAAACAAATATTCCAGTCAGTACTGAATACACAAATGGCTTTTAATGAGAGGTTTGCTGCGGTGTAAAAGCTGACTAGCTCACTTGCCTATCTGCAAATCTGGCCACCACAAAGTGCTGTTATCTACGTGCATACAAGCAATAACTCTCTGATTTCTATCAACATCTCAGTGCATTACTTTCACTCAAGCTGAAAAGTCCAAGGCGGAAATTATATTCTCTTCTGTACATTTTAAGAAATGCAAGACCGAAACACACCTGGTAAAGCAGGAGAGAGTTCGTTATATCCTCCAAATGAAGCATTCCGGACAAGCTTTCGGCCATCAGCTCTTGCAGAAAACACAGATGAAATCCCAGCACATGAAGAAAACCTACGTCGCACTGGACCCTCTTCCTTCATGAGTTAAGGTGTTTGTGTAAGGATTATGTTCTCTGTGAAAGCTGGTTAGCATTAGCTGCTTGGAACAAGAGTGTTGCAGTAACAGCCTTTTACCTCACATTCTGATGAGTAAGATATAAAAGGAAAAAAAAGAAACAAACGAAGGGCACATGTGAAAAATGCAGTGAAGAGACAGAGGCTGCCAAATCAGCAGCAAGCCAAGCAACACTATACTCCTCTCATCAAACCCATTAGTACGCTTAAAGCAGAACGGCTTTGCTTCAGCTCCTATTTCCCACAAACACATCTCAGGTTTGGCCCTACTCATACGTTCTAAGCACACACAAATGGTGAATGTTTAGATTTTAAGGACCCCTTAAATTAAGCCTTTCTCCTGTTGTCTTTCAAGTCCCAAATTTATTTTGCACAAAGCAAAACTCATGAGATATGTGGCTTCCCTATTGGATATTGTGGCACACTACAGTAATCTGAAAAGGGATCTGATGCTTTGCATCATGCAGCCATATTGAGCTGCTGTTCAGGCTCTTACCTAGCTAGTTTTTATCAGCTGATTGCCATGGCTTCTACATCTTCATTTCTTACTTTCTTCAAGAGGTGAGGAAATAGCTTTTTCTCCTCTTAACCTTTGCCATATCTATATCTATATCTATCTATATATATGAGCCAACCTGACTCCTGGAAGAGTTTGTTATTTACGCCCCAAAGATTTTAGGCAATGAATAAAACACTTAAATGAACCAGCTTAAATTTTAACCATAAAAAAAATCTCAGTGAATTCTGTTTCAAGACCAGAACTCAGATGACCCAAACTGTTCTTGCTGACAGCTACCAGAATAAAGTCTAATAAGCTCTCCCTAACCTTCATCCACTGCTTGTTAGTTTGGCTGCCTCTTTTTGCCCTGACAACTAGTGTGCATGGCCACACTCCTCTATATGTGGAACATCCGTCCCATCTGGTGCTTCTCTGCCAATCACATTCCCTCCCCCCATCTTATTTCTGACAAAATACATTTTTGAAATCTACTGTCTGTTGGAAAACAGAAAAATGAGGCACCAAGAACTGGCCTGAAAGTAAGAACTTGTGCTCTTCTTTACTCCATACTTGAGGTCTCCTCCTCTTACAAAGTGAAACATGCCCCACAATTACATCCATAATAGTGTGAATCTGATTAATCCTCAAGTAATGCTGTCTCCAGCTGCTTACACAAAGAAGTGTACTCATTATTTGCAGCTCAGTAATTTCAGTTCAAACTGGCTCAAGGATAATACAGTAGACCCACGTATTTTATAACAACAGGTTTTACTGTGCAGAGTGTATGTGCATTAGTACATGCATGTAGATACATACACTAAGAGAAATACTGAAAACACTGAGAATTCTTTTTTCTGATCATGAAACGTAGTAGCCTCCAGGATCCTACAAATCACTAGAATTTCTTCATGCTTCTTAAACAGACTAATGTCCCAGTACAGCCAAGGAAAAAAGATGTAACCAAAAAAAACCCAAAATGAGAGCCATCAATAGAAACCATTATACGTGCTATGTAATTTCCACTTCTTCTGTACAAGAAGTGAAAAACTCTATTCACTTCAGCACAGGGAGGGGGAGAAACTAGATAAGCATGTCATATATTCAAGCCTGCCTCCATTTATCCATTACTGTGGCTCATACTTCCCTCAGCTGAAGCTGTCCTTTTCCAGATGTCCCAGAAGGAACAGAAAGAGCAGGTGAAAAACTGAAGGAATGGATTGGTGTGGTAACTGAAGAACAAATTCAAGGAGGGAGAACTCCACTTTTTCTCCTTCCTTTTTTTAAAAAAAAAGCAAACAAAACCAAACTCAAACCAAAACCACACAGCTCTGTATCATTCCTGCAATCTATCTTCTTAGCTACAACCTTGGGCCAGAAAATGCATTTTCCTTTTTCTAATTAAAATCAAGAGAAAGCTGCAGTAGAAAACCTCCCCTTACACACAGAAGGAACTGTATCCTCTCATTACAGACCTATCTTGCCCAGCTAATGGCTCTGTTATCTGGACTCTGAGTCAGGGCTATGACCCTGCCCAGGACCGCTCTGCTGACACTGGTATCAGGATGTTTCTGTCTTGCACAGGAACGGCAGGGTCACATAGACTCAAGGGAAGCTGCACCATCAGCCACTCACACCACTCTGCATCTGCACCCAGCAGCCGTGCCAGCCAGCTCTGTATACACTACAGCCTACCACATTCCTCCACAGCATGGCCTTCTCTGCCACTTAGTTCTCACAGAATCATAGGATCAGCTGGGTTGGAAAAGACTTTTAAGGTCATCAATTCCAACCATTATATCAGGGCTGCCAAGACCACCACTAACTCATGTCACTAAGGGCCTCATCTCATGTTACTAAAAAGTGCCTAGACATCCAGGAATTTGAGGAAACAACATAATCCTGAAAGTTTCCCCTTATTTCTCTCCATGCCCTTCCAGGTCCCTTGACACTGTTCATGTAATCTGTAAACACAAACAATTAAAAACCTCTATCTCTTTCCTATGCTCTTGTCGCCATTTAGAAGTGAAACTGAAGTCTTTGGGTAGATAACATTAAGAATTTCAATATGGATAATGCTACATTTCCCCCCTCTGAAGCCATCTCCCAACCAAGGAAGCCATTATCTGAGTATTTTATTTAATTACCTCTGCTTTAACTCAATAGTGAAAGGAGAGGCAGACTGTGCCTTTTGCCAAAATATGACTCTGTCTCACCACCACCACAGAGGGAGAAAAGAACAAAAATATCTAATTTAAGCTTCCTTCTTCTCAGCCCCCCCCCAAGACATCTTCACATTTCACTTAGATCTGAAGTGATAAAAAAAAATCACATGGTTTGACTGCAAAAAGTCCCTAGATCTCCATCTTTTCAGCAGCTTATGGTTCATTATGCCTGCTAATACTTGTATACACATACTCATTTGCTTCAACTGCTTCAAAGCAGTATACATTGCTGGAGAGAGAGCCGACACACACCCAAAAAGCTCTTAGATGGAAAGGAGTTTGTAACATTTAATAAAAATTAGCATTTTTCTCAATGGTGTAATTCTAAGCTAAAGTTTACTGTAACTCTTGGGCATCAGCCTGAGATAATACAAAAGGCGTTTCTGCCCTCCACACACTCAGTGCCCAAAGCTCCTAGAAACCGTAATTCCTTGCTCTAAATTTGATTCCTGAAAGGACACAGAGGTACTTCTAAGTAGCTGGAAGTGCTTTCATTTGTATGTTCAGTACACTCTAATGGAAAGGTGCACTTCAGTAGCCATCCTTTTTCCTCTTCTCCCCTTTCTGCAATTAGACAGAAATGGTCAAACTACTGATAAATTTGGAACGAGTATCATTCATAAGGTGATCTTAGACTAATGTCCAGGAAGCTTTCTATCCTTTTGATATTAGTTCCAGTGCCCTACTAATTGATATGTATAGAAAATGCACTAACATACACAGCTTGGAACTTTACGTAGTTTCAGAATAGTCACAAATAGAACTACATCCAAGTCCAACTGCACAAGCAAGACATAGCCAAAAAGCTTGCATAAAGAGGAAAGTATCTGCATTCTAGCCTAAACGCATCAGCTGCGTGCCACAGTGCATGAAAAAAAGACATCTGTACATGAAACAAAGACGCCCCATAACAAAAGTTCAGTACTTCATGAAAGCTGGCACTAGACTGAATATGTCACTGTCAGGGAGAAAAAGTCTCATGGTTTCTTTGTATTATGTAACACCTAAACCAGGAGAAAGATGGAAAAATCATGACGGAAATATTTAGTTAATCTATCTTCGGGAGGGAAGAACCCATGCTCAGTCAACCCGTTGAATACCTCCAAGAGGAAGTTTCTTCTCTAAGAGGAAGAAAACTCATCTGTAGTATACATTTTCTAAATGACAGCTACTCAATTGGGGCTTCTTCAGTAGTTAATGCTTGCTGAAAAACAAATCATAATTCCATGCTTAAGATATTTTTCCAGGATACTGCCTGGGGCAAAACCTGAATCTTAGTATGTAAAGGCAAAGAGAAGGCACATGCAATTCCAACAGCGCATGAACACTTTTCACAAAGCCTGATTTTAGTTATAAAACATTTCTCAGATTGGAAAAAATTTACAGCTGAAAAAAACCCACTATTATCAAAAAAGACCTCTCCCAATTGTACAGGTATGAATTCCAAGCACCACAACTGAAATCAAATCAAATATATTCGGAACTATTCAACTGATGAATTTTAAATATAATAAAACTGATACTGATGCAATAATAGAACAAAAAGGATATCGAATGTCACAAAGCAAAAAATACTCCTTTTGTTATTAGAGTTATATAAGGAAAACCCAAAACCTTCTTAAAAAAAGAATTCCGTGAAAGCTAAAACGAGATTAAAGTGGAAGGTAAACTGATGGTGTAGCAGAGAAGACAAAGCTTTTTTAGCCTTGCCCTTCAGGTCTGACAATAATTTGCCCTGACATTTTGACAACAGTACCTTTTCCAGCAGAATTCTCCCCCCAGTCTAACAAAAGAAAAGGTCATAAATGATTATCTGCATGCAACAGGAACACAGCATGCAGAAAATAGATAAAGGAAACTGCTAGATTATCATACCTATAAATGAGTTTTATCCAACAGCTGACTTGTTAGCACATGAACTTTAAGTGCTTTTCTCCTATTTAACAAAATAGGTATTAAAGATGTACTTGCCTTCAGACACCAATATCTGATAAAAAAAAAAAAAAGACGTGCAAGTAGTTTACAGTGGCAAATTTCTTTCATCAAATATACTGCTGTTCTCTGATATTTCCAAGTCGAATGGAGCTTAGTTGAGGAGTAATTCCAGAGGCATGCCTGAGAGGGGTTATGAATGAACACCAAAGCTCCCAGTGCCCTGCTGGCAGCTGTACTTGGCTGAGCCTCCTCACTTGCTAACACTCCTGCTCAGCTCCTCCCACCCTAATTAAATAGGGCTGCTCACTGCTCAGGTTTCAAGAGTTTTCATCTCAGCCATTATGAAATTCCCAAGGTCACAGTTCAAACAGGCCAGCTCTGCAGAGATTGTCAGGGAGAAAGAGAACTTGCT